GAATTAGAATAAAAATCCTTCAACCTCAAAATTCCGAGTAAATAAATTAGAAAATCACATTTCCCGGATAACATCGAAATACATTCAACATACGAAGACACGAATCTTAATTTTTCAGTTTTTTTACTCAAAACCGCATATATTCAGTCCCTCTGTAATTTGATATCTTGCGCTGATTCACCGCTTTGGAATATCACTTTTATATTTGAAGTAATGTATATGCAAGCAGACATTTTTTTAAATTATATCAGAGCAATTAATCGCATTACTTGCTTACAGGGTCTGTATGTTTATACATGAAAATATTTTCAAAAATCACGCGCTAATATACATATTTGCTTGAATTTCTATACATTATCAAATCGTGCAAGGGATATTAAATAATGTTTATACGTATATCTGAGCACACACGATTCGGCCATTAAGATTCAATAAATGTTTATGCAAAAATTTAGTTGAAAAATGTCGTAATGTATACTATAATAATACACTATTACACTGGTCACATTGATAAACACCATCGCTATTTTTTACAGCAATGTGAAAATTGTGCCACGAAATAACTGAATATCACGGCTTATTTGAGATTTTCTGAAAAAGGCCAATATTTAAATGAAAATTTATATTAGTTGAAGCAAAACAATAATTAATTTTACACTGAGACACTAGCTGGATTTTTCACAACCAACTATTTTTTTTAACTCGTTAAAGAACTAGTATGTGTGATATTCGCACGCGGTGAAAAAAACGCGACACTATTTTAAATCCATATCAACACACGACCATACACGGACCGTAACGTTGCGGTGATGAAGCGAATGAAAGTATGCCGCACTCGATGTACACCTCGATTTTATGAACAATAACGATGAAATTTTTTCTTCACTTAAACCAACGCGTACATTCTATATGATACATTTTTCTCATTTTCATTTACAATAAACGACTTTTTTCTTTCATTGTTCGAGAGAGTAGAATTTCGCGCTTTTTGCCTATTCATATTGAAAAAAAATTGCTCGCGAATATTATTAATTTTTATTAACTTAGCAAATCATTTCCCTAGCTACGGAAAATTTTCATTCATCTTTTTCATGGCCAAAAATATCTTCAAAAGGTGTTACGTACCTCAGGGATTCGATACCTCGACTCATTTTGTAATAATTGAATCTATGATTCGATAACATAATTCAGTTGCATAAACATCAAGCTGTATTTGAATCTATGATCTAGCTATGCTATTGGCGCGCTTATTAGACAATTTTTTAATATTCTTATTAATCCGATTAATTAAACTAATAATTACTAAAATTTAAGCACTTTTAGAAATCTATAAAGCTTTTTAAAAAAATTTTCAGTCGTACTGACAAGAATACGCTAATAAATGCTCACCTTCATTTCAATTTTAGAAGTGTACTTTATATCTGCCGAAATCACATCGCTCGAATAAAGCACTGGAAAAATATTTTTATAAAGAATAATTACTTTATATTCTGCTGCTTTTATACATAATTCATAATTAAATGCCTTTGACTTACTTTGCAAAAAGATTACATTTTTTCATCATTATTTACTTTTTTTTTTGAGAATTTTCGAATTTCCGCTGGCAATCAAATTTTATGTACTCTTTGACATTCCTAGCAATAAACATAGTAGCGTTGTACTTATCAGTTATTTATCTGAAATAAAAAAATATAATTACACGAAATTTAAAATACTCTGACATATCATGAACCACTCAATACATATTTTATATACATTTAAAACGTAGGGCTAAAAATGTAAAGTCCGCTTCGCATGCATTTCGTTCGCGCACGCGTTCAAAGTAAACCGTAATAATGATATTTCTCGTTTGTACTGTCATACATAATTATATTACAAAGTTAGTAGTTCTAGACGAGTCATCATCATGTAATATAAAAATTTTTTATTTCTTATTATTTTTCAATTACTTAAAAATAGCTAATTATTGCGTAGTTAACGGTATTGAATTATAAACTTTTGTAAACCATCAAGTTTATCGCATATATATACATATATACGTATTCTATCTCATATAAAAAATCATCTTTGAACGTGTACATATAATTTTTACATAAATATGTACGTATATGAGATCGATCTGTAAATATATCAAAGCTTGTATGCTAATTTTTCAAGAACACGCATACATATATATCAACATATATATGCTAGTATATAAAAGTTCATTCTTTATTTTGCTCTTTTATAATTATTATTTATCATAATAGTTACATTGTTATACATGCCAAGTCTCTATCTCTATACTATATTATACAAATGCTACCAGCATGTAATATATATTACATTAACGCGAAGTAGCTCATAATTAATTCTGTACAGTGTCGATTATTGTTAGTTGATAAATATCGTTTTATTCTAGTTGTATTTAAGCGCGATTATTGAATTTTCATTTCTCAAGATCTGAATTAATTATTGTCAAATAGATCAAGTGTAGTTGTAGATACACAATTTACTCGTGGCGATAGTAACAATTGCGTATATGCACGCGGGGCCGACGAAAATCGATTTGTTTTACTGAGGAGATACTTTCCGTCCTCGCAAAATGTGCGCTCTTGCGCTTGACATATATATTTAATGACTTTTTTTAAACTTATATGAAAATTATATGTGATAAAGACACTTACACATAGAGCCGTGGAATTGTCATTGCCAGGGTTGCAGGCGTAGAAGCTGCTTTCGAATCTTTCATATTTCTAATCGGAAAATATCGCTTGAAAGTGTAAAATAATGCGAAATATAACTCACGCAATCGTATAGCTGCTTTAATATTGCTGAATTTTTTTAGTATGAGTTTTCTTTTGGTTTACCTTATTTTGTGTCGACCTACTAATATTTTATATAAAAAATGGAGTACATTATGCGTGGCAATACGTTATTTTGCTGAAGAGCTTCGAGTGTATAGTCGTGTGTAGATCATTTTATTTTAATTTTATTTCAATTGAAAAAGAAATAAAAATGAAATGTCGAAACAAACCGTCCATAAAAACGTCAGACAGACCAGACATCAAGGGTTTCATTCTTGCTCTTTTTGAGTATAGCCTTTAGAACTGGGCATAATTTGCTGAGCAAAATATCATTAAGTGAAAATTCAATCGTTATACCGATAAATTACTCACCAGCTGCGAGAAAGTGAGGTTGACTCGTTTGCGGCTCAGTAATTAATTTATTACGCATCGAGTTTACATACACTTGAATAAAAAAAACATGTCATTATTGTAAACCGAATTGATAAAAAGTACCAATTTTCTGAAAATTTAAAGATGTATTCAAGTCCTTCGTGCTTTAAACTGTTTCATATACGCGAAAGTCCTGACATAAAAAATATATCAATTTTTTTGGTTCAAATCATGATTGAGCACGCACACGACTCGCATACGAAAATTTAATACAAATATATTTCGATAGGATTTAGTTTAATAGGCCGAAAAACTGTACTGGCATACATTAGATTTATATGCGTAGTTTACCTCAAATGAAAGAGTAATCATATTTATTTTCCTCTTTTCTTGCAAGGGCGTTGGCTTGGCTACGCAGTTTTCATGCGAAGTAAAAGTGAAGAAAAAAAAAGCGAGTGGTGAAGAGCCAGTACTCGAGTATATAATATGAAAAGAGAACTGTAATTGGCACCTGGCAAGAGAGCCCAGCGAGCGCTCTTGTGTTAAAGAAAGTAAGACCAAAAAATAAAGAAAGAAAAATGTTCAAAAGGATGTATAAGCTGTAGGCTGATGTGCAATGTAATGCAAATTAAAGAAAAGAAAAGAAAAAGTTTCCTTATAAATTAAGATGTATACTGATGTTGAAAAAGTTCTTTCCAGCACTATAATTTACGAGAAGAAAGCGAGAAAATTCTGCGTTTTTATCAATTTTAAAATTTACTTTTTGAACTACTAAAATATACACATTTTCTCTATGAATCCATCTGTCAATATATCTTTTAAGTACAGTGTGTTTTTGCATAATAATTAGGTATAATAAATGGTAAATGTGCAACCCGCCTACAAACATTTTTAGGTATAGATAAAACGTGTTGACACGTTTTACGTAGCACACGCTGCTATTTCAACTGCAAATGGCAATTTTTTTTGCAATTTTTATGAATGCCTTTGAAAACACAACTTTAGGATTAGGTGTAGGATGATTGCGTAGGCATTAATATTAGGTATTACTTAGGTTAGTTTAATATTAAAGTGTATCCCTAATTCAATTTAAAGTCCGCACATCACAACCTGTGTCAGTCATAATTTTTAATTTTTTCACAAACTTATTTATTATAATTTATTTTCCAACAATTTTACTTTCTACATTTATCCAACATAGTCGTCCTTATACTTTTGATACTTTAATTTTTAATTCTTTATGATTATTATTTTTTTCATTAATCCACTTTTACCTTCATCAATATCAATAAACCTAAATGATGTTCTGCCGAACTACAATTACACAGGCGCACGTGAGAGATAATATAATTATAAAAGAGTAATTATTTTAGGCCGTGGCAAGCATAGAGTTATACAGCACTGTTTAATCGTGTGTCTATGAGTTGCCGCGCTGCCTCGTAGCTGCTGACTCGCGATGCTGTCTAGATTTCATGAAATTAAGAAAAATATATAAATATAAGGTGTCGCAAACCTTTCAAGTTCGATGAAAATGAACAAAAGACGAAACGCGCATAACAAATGATGAATCAGAATGAAATGCGAAAATAATTCGCTCAAATGTTCAAATATCAGTTGTTTTTATTATGCAAGAATCATTGATAAGGCAGTGAAAAATCATTATAATTAATGCAAAAAAGGTATCAATTAACATAAGAAAATGATTTATATACTTGATTTTAAAGAAATGAGAACAAAAATTGATTTTTTTTTTCAAATAAACAACGATAATGCCCACAGTTAAGTGTATTATTAAGCGAACTGTTGTTCACTGTTGATTTTTTTCTATATCACGTGGTGTAGGCCATATTCGCCAGTTGTATCCCCGAGATTATTGACCTGATCGGGACGCGAAACAAGTATGGCGGAACTTTGAAGAACGAGCGAGGTCGCAGGTGAGACACAATTAAAAGAAAAGCCAAAATAAAGTTTCCCAAAGTTTGTTTATCATAATGATCTAATTATATTATACCTATTGTTTAAAATTTGTGAATCCTACATCCTTATCGATCCTATACAATTTTTCTTATTAACATCTAATTCTTTATGTATTAGATCCTTTTTCTCTCTCTTTCTCTCTTTTTCTGTTTGTAATTCTCAACTGAAAGTATCTAATCATTATTAATAACAAGTGTGATGACTCAAGACACGACTGCAACACGTGTCGAGAATTATATTCGCTACAAATCGAACATTATTTGTGTGCCTGATGTGTCTTTTCTTGAGAGACATAATTTTTAATCATTTACATAATGTAATTACATATAGTTATCATAATTATATGTTCCTCACACCAGATAATAATTTGTGTGTTTCCTCTCTCTTTTCATAATCTTTTTATCATTTCATTGACTATTTTTTTAAATTTTCATCAGTACCATCTTCCGAATAACACGTTTGCATTTTTTATACTCTTAACAGTAAAGGATGCGTCGAATACCTCATTAAAGAATTAAATTTGATTTAATTTTTTATTCATTTTATTTAATTTGTATCGAAGGTTATAAACCAAAACGATATTGTGCAGTAACTTTCAATATAACATATTTCCATTTATAAGATCTTTGCAAATTGATTATTTTCTGATTTACTTTAAATTAAAAAAAACATTACAAAATCAATCAAAATATTCGTATTTTTAAGAAGATTTTTTACCATTATGACATAACATTTTAAAGTATACTTGAACAGAAAAGTTCTCTTTCTTTCTCTCTCTCTCTCTCTCTCTCTCTCTCTCTCTCTCTATTTTCTCTTTTTCTTCCGTATCCTTGGTTTTTTTGTTTTGACCCTTTTCGAACACCGTGTAGACTACATATCCCACGCCCACACTTTTTCTGCTCTCGATATATATACAAAAATTAATTTTTCACTCACTGACTGTATATCCTTAGACTGATCTATTGCTGATATCTTTATCTATATATATATAGTGTGTAATCCACTTTACCGTGTTTTAAAGTTAATCATCACTCATTTGTACACATTCGTATACAGCAACTGGTGTTTCGCTTGTTTGTCTCACAATCACTCACTAACACACATTTCACTATAACATTTATGAATCTGTGATATGTTAATAAAAAACTACTTACGAGATACCATTCGAATGAGAAAATTACTATGATTGTTGATTTGTAGAAATTTCTTGAGCATCTCGTAAGCAGGAGTTAAACTGTCCAAGTTGCATGTAACCTCCTCTCCTTGTGCGCTCGTATGCATTGTGCACAAAAATCATGCGTGCGAGCGTGTGCTTATAAATATATTATATACTTCAAAAATATTGAATGCATCAATCATACACCCGATTTGTTATACAATATAATATGTAATAAATTAATATTTTATATATTCCATGGTATTAGCCATAAACCTTATTGAAAATTTAAATGTCTGATTTTAAATTATAATACAGCATTCAGCGCTGTTATTAATTTTGTTAAAATTCGTGTGCGAGTCCCATGAAATAGTTTCTAATCCAATATTTGTAAACATGCGCAGTCTTCGCGATTTCACCTCGTAGGTTTTTTTCCTAAATGAATATGAGTTCTCTGTTCAGTCTATTTTACTTTAACGTCGTTAGATCCTCTGGGTGGATGTAATTTGTGTATAAAATCAAGATAGATAAGTGCATTAATTTACAGCAGTCTAATCGTAAAAGTGCAATTTTGCCGCCACTAATCAAGCTCTAGAACAGTGCTTTTAAGAAATTGTATCAAAATAGTGCGAATATAGTTTTTCAAAGAAACTGACGTTGCAAAATGACGAGTTGCAGGCGGGTACAGGGTCGATTCCTTGTTTCATTTAAAAACGTAATCGCACTTTTTTTACTGTTTTCTAAATATTCATTCCAGTTGTATATCTATGTTTAATAATGCCAAAATTGTTTGCAACGCAGTTCTTGACTGTTATGATTATACCTCAATTAACGTGCATATATTTGTTATTTTGTTAATAAATATATTGATTGTACTAATACTAATTTTTTTCTATTATGTACTATACAACTATATGACACATTGATGTAATTCTATGATTGTGAATGTCGATGTATACAACTGTTTTTTTTCTTTTATCAGCTACGTATAAATGTGCAAAAATTTCTAAAACGCTCAATTGCAGATGAAACAAAATTTATCCTTGCATATTTATTAAAAGTCATGAATATAATCGTATAATTTATGTGTGTCGTGTGTATAATACAATGTACTTTAAAAGTTAAAAAACTATATCTATGTGTGTTAATTATAACATGTGTGTGCGTGAGGTCGACACACGCTAAATATATATCTATAAAGTCACACATGATATATTACAGAGCCGTGCACCATGTGCGCATCGAAAATTGAGCAAAAAGAGCGTAACAGATTTTTGATATCAACGTCAACTTATGAAATTACGGAATCTGTTCTACTTCTCTCTCTTTTTGCGATGAATCAACGAAAAATAACAAGCTTACCGGAATTTGCAATTACATACATGAATAAGGCTTGTTTATTTTCAACGTAAAAGTTGCGAGGTTCGAATGAGCGCGGCGGATACGTCTGCAGGGGGCTACATTAACGATTTGGAAGAAAAATATCAACTCGGCCGCGATTACGTCTAGTGCGAGAACGTACCTAAGCATATAAACTCATGCTCACTTACACACCCACATATCGCGTGTCTCTCTGCCTTTCTTTTATAGTATGTATGTATACTCTTTCGCTTCATTTCCGCGTTCTTTGTACTCGTATGCGTTTCTTCTGTGTATGCGTTTCCTCGTTAGAAACGATTGGCAAAGAAGCCATTTTTTCGCAGTAAACCAAGAAAGCTCGATACATGACAACTACAAAAGTTTTTTTATTTACATTTTCATTACGGTCGTTTTTTGCCAATGCATTTTTCTCTCTCAGTCGTTTCTTGTTAGCAAAAGCAAATGCGTTACCTTTGTTATTATTTTCAGAAAACGTTTAGTTTTAATTTGTGAAGTTCGTATTTTTTTCTTGGTAGAATCGATACTTCAACTATTTACTGTTTATCAAATACACGTACCCATTTTATAAATAGATTCTCCGAAACAACTCACATAATAAGTACATATTACCAAGTAGAGCATACAGCATGGAATGATTAAATGTTATTATTTGATTTTCTTTTAATTTTTATAATCGTTATAAAAAATATTTGAAGACGATGCTCATAATCAAAAACTTTAAAATTTATATGAATCATTATATTTCTTATATTAATCATTATTAATGCGTAGTTATTATTTCCTATCGTCACTTCAATATTCAATATATGCGATTGAGACTTTCGTGTATATTGATAAATAATAACCTTGATTACATTTTAGCATGATAATTTGTAGTGCTCTTTTATTGCACAGTTGAAAAATGAAACTATTATTGTAGTATTTTGCAATTTAATATTAGAAAACATATTCAAAAGACTCGCTTGATAGTCTTTACATATTACATTTAATATACAACATGTTCCATTTCATCAACAGCGATTATAAAAAACGTCTTACATTACATATATGATCGTTTTATGTACTGATACACAAACACACGAAACACACAAATTGCTAAACACTCATGCGGTATTCCGTACAACCAATAAGAGATTGCACACTTATATACTCATATGTAAAAAAATTAATATTATTTAAATCGACACATTAACTTATCTAACAAACAAGATAAAATTATCATTCTTAATTCGTTATATTTTTATTGATCAAGCTGTATACCATGTACGATTTTCATCAACCTTTTTTTTTAATATTATATACACCTAATACCTTTTTATCACCATGACTAAACTAACCTTTGTGTAAGTAGAATAGTCACATTAGGTGCCACCTTAGTTGTTCGATTAACAATTGTAGTTGCCAATACTAATAAAATAATCACCATCCGAAAATCCTTTTATTTTCCTTTAATAAGCTAGATGTGTGGGTTAATTTTCATATATACTCCATGTATGCGAAGAAAAATATTAAAAATTGAACATTTTTCTTCTCGTATCCCTTTGTTTTTTTTTCGACATTCTCAACCATATCCAATTATTAATTTTGCAAATTTTTAGGATTAGAAATTGAAAAAACTTGCCTGTAAACTAATACTCATGAATATCATTAATAATGAAATATAAATATGGTAATTTTTACCAATATTTTTATTGATGAAGTCTGTGTGAATTTTGCTTATTCTAACTAAAATTTTTGTTTGTCTTTCTTTTTTTTCAAAATCATTAGTTTCTTTTTTATCATGACTGGACTAATGCTTACAAAGAGTCTTATAAGCGTTTTTAGACTTGTGTAATAAAAAAAATTACCAATCCTCTAAGCTGATACTTGCTGAAATTCAAGCAATTTTTTTCAACTGCTTTTCAAATTTTAATTTCTCTCAAATGGTAAATTATAATTTTAGAGAAAGTTTCGTTTACGCAACTTTAATATTGCAATGTTCTTTTGTTCTGATCACAAATAAGAATAAAACTAACTTGTGTTTTGTATTTGCCAGACACATCGTTGTGTGCGGTCACATCACGTACGAGTCCGTCTCACATTTCTTAAAGGATTTTTTGCATGAAGATCGTGAGGATGTTGATGTCGAAGTCGTTTTCTTACACAGGTATGCCGTTATCAAAAGATAATATTTAAATAAAATTTTACATCTAAGTTTAAAGAATAAAATCAGTCCGTCATACGTTCTGTACTACTGTATATCTATAAGACTTACTGAATAGAAGGTAAAACTTAATGAGCATTTTATCGCAAAAATATTTTAATAAAATCATTTGTCATCCTACATTTCATCATCATAGTCGTCATCATTTTTCACTTAGAAGTTTTTATAATGAAACGCGTATAGAAAAAGTATAGAAAAAAGCCAGGGAAGTATAGACGCACAATGGCCATCAGCTGTTTTAAGAAAAGTTGGCCTGTGATTGCAGGAAGGAGCCCGATCTTGAATTGGAAGGCCTCCTCAAGAGGCATTACACAACCGTGGAGTTTTTTCAGGGCACCATGATGAATGCCGTGGATCTGGAACGCGTTAAGGTATCCCTCTTACTCTTTCCTTGACCAGAAATGTATCCTTGTACAATTCCCTCAAACCATCCTCTGTCCCTTAACTTTTTTATCGAAAGAAATATCGCGGGATTTTGAGATAATTTTTACGTGCTAGTGCTAGAGATAAATTGTCGTTATGAAACACTTTAATCAGCACAATTTTTTTTATCCAGTCCGTAAGTGAAAAAGCTTGATTTTTGAAAAATAAAATTTCGCAATAATTTGTGCCTGTCTAAACAACACTCGCAGTTTAATATAATTGTGAAGTGTCGTCAAATCTTGTCAAATCATTTTACACATGTTTTCTTGTCGATTTTTTCTTCACTTTTTTAACGCACTATAAATAAAATACAAGCGTAACAATGTTTTTTTAGTGTCGTGCTTTTTTACAACAATACAAGTTTTGTAGCCATTTCCCGAAATTCCTGAGCTGTACTCTTTCTCCTTTCTAGAACCATGCAAGAGTTTCGCTGGAAAATATGCCGAACGGAAACATTGCTTCACTATTTGCGATCAAATTATTATTATACCCTTGAATCGCTTGCGCGCGTGGATTAATAGTGGGTCATTACTATCCGTTGCATCGGTTTGGCCGTAATAATAAATAAGTCAGCGACTATGACGATTAATTCGCTATAGAGTCACAGTTACAATCATATATTTTGATTCTTCAGCCCGCAGCTAACTGTTGTCGCGTTGAACACTCGTTACCTTGGTGATCTATCGATCACCTTATTCACTTTGGATTAATATTATTTATACAAATATATTTTTTCCATACACGTAGCTATATTATAAGCGTTTTTAATTGATACTGTAACAACTTTGGCTCTTTCTTCTTTTTTTCTCTTCTGTGTCTTTCATACTTTTATAAGTATATAACTGGATCGATTTTTTTATCAAACAAAAAGCATTAATATTTTTAAATTTCTCTCATTTTTTTCAATTTGAGTTCATTACTTTGTACTGTATATTTAAAATCACAGGCAAAATATACGTAGGCTTTATCTTAAATTTTTTATGTATCGTAGACTAAAGTGACTTGATGATAAAAACGCTTGTTACGTGGCATTAAAAATGATTCTGAATGTTTAGGCCATTTTTCATTTATTAATATAGATATATTTTATGAATTTCCATGGTTACTTACTTGGAGTTAATTTTACAGATTACTCGAATCATACATTTATGTATCTAAGTTAGCTGTCTCTTTCATATTTTGAAAAAAATTATCACGTGTCATTCGCACTTTTATTGATCATTCGCTTCGAACATTAAACCTTTTGTTCCAATAAAAGAACCAAAAAGAGAGGCAGCAACGCTTAGACTGATTGAAAGCGCCTACGGAAATGCATGTGTCATGCTATATTAAGTTGTAACGATGAAAATTTTTCAGTAGACAATTATTTGACTGATTAGAATTTTATTATTCATATTATTTTTCATAATGATTATCCACTTACTAAAATTTAACATCGAGTGCATTGCGCAAAACTTCATACCCAAACATGCTTCTGGCCTAAAGTAAATTCAAGACCTAATTTTTCCTACCGGCATGTTAAATTCAAACTGATCGGCTGACGGATTTACATTTCTCTGCGAATAAAAGTAAATACAATAAAAAAGAAAACGATACTTTCTATGAGATTTTGAATTTGTAAATTTTCATTTCTTTTTTGATTTTGTAATTAATTCTGCTTTATAGAAAACAATGAGCACCTAGATAGCTCTGCACAATAACAGTATTTCTTTCTTCATCACACATTTTGTAAGATGAAAAAAATTCAGCTTTTATGTAGGATACAAATTACGCAAGTGATGTAATAAAAAATATAAAAACTAAAGCCGTAATTGAGGTTCTTTTAAGCGCAATGCACGAGTAAGTATTATGACGGAAATTGAATGCGAGTAAATATTGAATTAAGGTATCATATAAGTACAAAAAACCAACATTCGGCAGCTGAGTTGTGAAAGGTGAAGGTTTCACTTGATATAATATTTAAAACAAAATATATGATTTTGTCGGACAAAATAGGAAGCCACCCGATCTTGAACTGGAAGGGCTGTTCAAAAGGCACTTCACAACTGTGGAGTTCTTTCAAGGAACCATTATGAACCCGATTGATCTTCAGCGGGTTAAGGTGAGTCTTTAATCACACAAGTGGTTTGGTTTAACACACGAAAAAAACAAATGTGTTATAAACAATAAAAAAATGTCATGGTGGTTTGTTTAAAATAACAGCGATGATGTTTACGTTTAATTGTTGCCTACGTATTTCTTCACTCTTGTTATTTCGGTGTGCGTGTGAGCGAATGAGCGGAGTCAATGTAGATGTTGATTTTTTTTTTCAATTTTATTTAAGAGAATTCGAATTTTGACGAGTTTATGAACATGGAAAAAGTCGAATTCTTCTTTTATCGCGAGTGTTCAATTGGTCTAATGTTATTGCACTCGTAGTACAAAGTACTGCAGTATAATTGATCGCGTCTGTGTCAATGTTTTTCAATGTGATTAAAATTGAAAACTTAATTCTCATAATTACATTTTAATTGTAAAAGCCCTGAACTTTGGGCATTGAATATTGCTTAATTTTTAATTCTCAAGGTGCTGAAAAAACTAAAAAAAAAGGATTTATAAAGAAAGTATTTATAAAAACGTATCCAAATTTTTTGCAAGCTTGGAAAATGCTTGAAAATAATTTCTTTGATCGATTAAAGCAAACATCTATAGATAAAACTTTTAATGATGAAATAAAATTACATGGTTCAAAATGAAGAAGTCAATGTATTAAATTATATTTGCTTTTATAGCTTCATTGTATTTAAAACTGTACCGCTAAAGCTCTTCACAATATGCTAGTTCTAATAGGTATATTACAGAAGAAGGACATTTCCTCCATTTTAATCAGTCTTAGAGCATATTATTTGAAGTAAGGAAAAAGTAAAATGTCAATTGCTTTGCACCTGATCAAAATGGAAGATATTGTACCATTTCTCTTTAAATGGAAATCGTAAAAATCAATTATGTGGTGCTATTCTTCAAAACTAATTGTTGCCTGTTTATCGACCTTTTTTGGTCATTTTCTATGTTATTTGCTTTCTTGAACTTGTAATCTTTATATGAATATTCAACTTATCATCATTCAAAACCCAAAATAATGCAAAAAATTTCGGAAGCATCTTTTCTTAATTATACATTTTCTTCAACTCATCATTTATGATTTAGTATTTCTAATTCATATTTTCGGTCCATTTCTTGAAAACACCGTTTAATTATTTTTAAATTGAAAAGTAATTCATAAAAAGAAGATTGAAATTAATCTTTATCATCACTTGTTATGAAGGTGGACGGATTATGAAAATATAAAATGTTATTACATGAGCTTAAGAAAACAAATAAAGTTTCATGGAAATGAGAATGAATATTAAGTTTAACATAAATGTATTTCTTTTGGTAAACTTCAAATTTAATAACTTTGTGAGTTGAGAAGTGAACTCATACACATTTTCTAAATTTTTATTTTTTAATATTTATACCAATGTTGCTAACGGTAATTCCATAATAACGCTAGTATTTTTGTGCCGAGTACTTATAAGCATTCGATTGATTTGAAAAATGATATAAAGTTTTTAGACTAATCTACTTGTTCTTGATGACATTTTTTCTATGATATAGACTAGTCTGAAGCAAGCTTTTTCCGTTACAAGAAAAAATTGAATCTTTAAAATGTAACGTTTTAACACGTTTATGTGTTTAATATTATGTAACCACATATCCTTGTAGCAAGTTGAAACAAAAAATTCAAAATTAAAATTAGCTGCTCTTTACAGCTAAAATTTAAATTATTTTTATTTGTAGTTAAAAAATAAGAATTTATTTTTACGTAAGCATAAATGAAAACTTGACTACTTATATTTTTTTTTTAAATATAAACTTTAAATTACGTTTTGTTAAGTCTTATTTCCCACATATGTTTAAACGCTACCGCACTAAATCTTCGTTATATTCTACTTCACTTCGCAAATAAAAAAAATCGACGAAATACAAATATGAGTACGATCATCAAAGATTCTTTACATAATTTTATATCTTATACAACATCTAGTCAAATTAGAAAAATCTCCGAAAAATGGCAAAGGGTTATTTACCGAAAGGTTGGTGATGTACAGTTTTCATGTAACTATCTTCTACTTTTTTACTCTTTTCATATTTCTTTGTAATACTATTTTTTCATATTCTTAAGAGCATTCGTTTATTTAGCTGAGTGTGTTATAAAAAGTGTAAAAATTTTATTGCACGTCACTAATATAATAAATTGACATAAAATAATCGCAAATGTACGTATCGTTGAAGGTGTTTTTGCGAACGATTTTGTGCACGTGTAAAATGCTTTACTTATTTAAATAGAATACGTTTATGATTAGATCTTGACGCATTAGCAACGCTTAGTTGTTTGGGCTATTTGCTATTTATTATACATACATACATATCTAATAACGCAAAATATATTCGAATTAACGGTTTATCTTTCGAAACAGTCCTTAGGATATGTCGTTCACGTAAATTCTTTTGTGCTTATATTATTTAAATATCTTGAAGAAAATTACTCGCTTTCAAAAGTAAAATTAATGGTGGTCTGTTTCCGTTTCGCGATCCAAGTAAAAATTAAATTGAACTATCTTACCAACGAAGGTAAATTTCATCCTTGTACTTTCCAACCCTTATGATCCAATATCTATCCATGTACATAGTTATTATAATCCGCAAAAAAATTAGTAATATGGAATAAAATGTGTGCGAAATATGTTGACTATTTTAATTGCTCTATTTAGGTCCACGAAGCTGACGCGTGTTTGGTCTTGGCCAACAAATATTGCCAGGATCCGGACGCAGAGGACGCGGCAAATATTATGCGCGTCATCTCAATCAAAAACTACTCGGACGATATTCGAGTTATTATTCAATTGATGCAATATCACAATAAGGTAAGTTAATCGGTGCTTATATGATCTGCCACTATAGGGGTTAATGTAATGCCTCACTCAACCATGATTTGCAATATTTTTAGGCCTACTTATTAAACATTCCATCATGGGACTGGAAACAGGGTGACGATGTGATATGCCTCGCGGAATTGAAACTGGGTTTCATAGCACAGTCCTGCTTAGCGCCGGGCTTTAGTACAATGATGGCTAATCTATTTGCCATGCGTTCATTCAAAACGGTCAGTATACGTTTTTTATTTATAAATCACTTATAATTAAACTTATCTTTGAAACGAGGGCTTAAATGTAATGATAGGATTAAAAATTAATCATGAACTATGCATGTATCAATGGATCTCATTTATTTTATTTTTAGAAAAGTCTCATTTAAAATTAATTGAATTTAGCTGAAATCTCGGTACGCACGAGAGAAAAAAGAAGCGTATAATCGATTAGGGGAACCGGGGATTCGTTAGCAAAATTAAATGAAAATTAGTCTAGACGTTAAACGAGAGAGAATGTACATGCATAGGTAAATTAATATACTTGAGAACACAGTTGGTTGATTCGTATTAGTCGGTCGGTGATGTAGGCTTGGCAGAATGATTATCTACGGGGTACTGGCATGGAGATGTACACGGAAACTCTTAGTCCCACCTTCATTGGAATGCCTTTTGCCAAAGCTACTGAGTAAGTCGGTTGTTGAAAACAACAAAACTACGAAATGAGAATTATATACATTTATTATAAAAATGATATTAACGATAGTGCAAATATCGTAAAGCTAATTATGAAATAATTTACCGATTAAAGAGACTGTCTGGCTATGAAAATTTTATTTTCTTAATTATCGTCATCAAAGTGAAATCAAGCATAAATGGACTAGTCTCTTAAATCGAATAAAAAGTGATATATGAAGCTTTGCCTTCGCCTGTGTTTTCTCACTAATGCTCCACACTGTGCTATATACATATATTTTTACATATATGAATTTTATATAGACTATTTTGTTTATTTTCTTTTATATTATATTTATAACTGTATAACATTTATATTACTCTGTTTAACAATGTAAAAAATGACAAAAAGAAAAGTGTTTGTGCTATATACACCTGATCTATGTGAAATCACCCATCATTGCTTCAATAGAAACGTGTACTTCATTTCTCTATATATCTATACTTCAAAGTACTCGTATTTTGCGTGTTGATTATAAATATTTTACCCCTCCTCCAGTGCAGCTATTTTGCAATTTTTAATGATTTGTACAGCTGTATTGACTAACGTAATGCATATCACTCGATGTTAAAACTTGCTGTTAGCACGTTTTTATATTCGCGAGCCTTGCTAACCAGAATGTTTTTTTCTATAAGCTGTATTACGACTGATAACCGAGAAATTTTATCAACTATTCAAGTCGTGTTGAGAAATAAGTCGCAACAGGTTGAACTGTAAGATTGATAAGAAATTAGGGGATGAAAGTTACATCAGGTTAAAATAGGGGTTGAGACGTCATTTTTCTCTAAGGTATTGAAGCATATGTACTTCTAAGGTAACATTTTATCAAAAGTAGGAGATGTCATTAAATTAAGATTAGGACATTTTGTAAACATTTTTAATAAATTACAAGATTGTAGCCCTGGTTTTTTATTTATTTTGCGTACGAAATAAATTTTGTTTACTCTGTCTGATAATTTATTCTATCTATTACAAAAAAGGACAAAATTGTTTTCGTTACGTTGGAAAAAGTTGTTGAAATATTTTGTTAAATTTTTTTCCATCTAATAAAACTTAGTTATGGAAGTTGATGAGCGCATAATGATGACGTAGAGCCATGGTTGGTTGTGGTGTTTCAGTCGCCGGATACACAGGCATGGCAGAACGATTACCTGCAGGGCACGGGCTGCGAGATGTACACGGAAACCCTCTCCCCGTCCTTTACCGGGATGACATTTCCCCAAGCTAGCGAGTAAGTTTGCTCGCTGCCGTGCCAGCTACCACACATGCAAACTAGAAAAAAACAAGTCTTTTCTTTTTGAATTATACTTAAATTTTTGTTATTTTCTTCTTACGATATTTTCTATTTTTCGTACGATTGCCTACAACACACTCTTAGGCCACATTTTTCCATACTTTTTTTACTTCCTTCTACATGATTTTTATTTTCTTTTTTTGATATTAATGAGTGATTGGTTAATCGTTAAAAACATCAATGTTTTTATTTACTTTGAAACAAATTTAATACTTTTTTTTTAACTTTGTTCCATTTGTTCAATTTTTCATCGTGCTGTCTATTACAATCTCTCATCTTCTTCATATACTTCTAAATCAGTCGTTTTACTCTGACTCTTTCTACATAAAACATAAATACACCATTGAATAAAACTTCAGTACAGAGATACGCACGTATTTTCCCTCTTTTTTCGTTCATCTCACATTTTTTCTACTCTGCCAGTATTTATGAATGTGACAACGGATGCACCTTTCATTTTACTTGAGACTTCGTCACTGTTAGAGTAGTAACACTGGCCTCGTTTTGTACAAGATTTTTCCCCCACGTTTTATACAGTAACAATGCTTTTGTTAGTTTTATATATACTCCTAGTTTTTCAATGTTTTATAAACATAAACATAGATTTTCTTTTGTCTTTTTTGTTGACGATTTTATACTTTTTTAGTATTCGATAACTATTTCTTACATTTTCAAGTATGACTAAGTGCACGATTTGAACTCATACTTATTTTTTGTCTTTTTTTTTCATTTATTCCTTAAGTCTATAATTTTAATTAATTAAAAAATTATGTTATTTTATCCAACACTGAATCCAATCTTTATTAAAACATTCATTTTTAAATTTAGTTATGCCGATAGTTTGGTTTTGATTCAATTTCTAATATTGATTATAAAAATAAGAATCAATATGTTTTGACTTGAAACTAAAAACCATGTGAAAATGATTTCTATACAAATTTTAGTTGTCATTTTAAGTTTGCCCGCCAATTCGGTGCACCTTGAAATTTTATTGTGAAGTAAGTTTTTAACTATACTTGATAAGAAATCTCGTTTATTTGATTTAGATTCCAATAATTCATGAAAATTTATTCACTTAAAACGTATATAATTGTATTTAATTTCCGATTTAATTACTTGTATGATTTGTCCAAGACTCTGAAATTTAACACATTTGTTTTGCACTTTTGTTTAGCTTTCGTTGTATATGACTGATATCAATTATTTCTATATCATTCCTATATGAATAGCCGTACTCTTTCGATCTCAATAGCGAACTGCGTCTCTTATTTTGTTTGCGTGTGTGGGAATTAATTGACTTTAGTAAAATGCAAAAACCACCTCATTGTACCTTTTTTTTATCTCTCTTTAGATATTTGTTATGTTAATCGGTTACTTAGTATTTGTAGAATTGTATGCATACATACGTCTGTATACAAGATCTTTTTTGTTATCATAGAAAATCCTATTAGATTTTTATATAACCTATAGTATTGCGACATACATCACAATGTATTACTCGAGCCCAATATTTTATAATATTTACTTCGTATTATATTAGTAATAGGCTAAAACATTTTTTAGAACTATTTAGAATTAGAACGTGTACTTACATAAAAACTACGGTGCATGCAAACATTGATAACTACTTGCATTGTTTGGTCCCTCTGTGTTCCTATTGCTTTTAAGATGTTTCAATTATTTCAAGATTTTAATGAAAATGAACATATTTGAAAAGAAAAACTAATTTTAAAAATATTTGATAGTATTTGAATGTTGAAACATCAGTCACGTCTGCTCTGTACGTCGCTATAATTTGACTTGCATTGTATAGTAACTGTATATTATTTGTTACTCATAATCTATCTTTGAGTGCATTGCAATTTTGTATTTCAATTTGAGAGTAAGAGACTGCAATGACCACGGAATAAGGGATTCTAATTCAATTTTTGCAATTAATTTGTTCATGAAAATCTATTTCAAATTGGAATTCAAATTTATAAACTGCTCTGTCTATTTTTAACTCAAAATAAAATTTATCAGAGTAAACAATAACTCAAACACGGCTTTGATTTATTTTTTTACCAAAAAGTGATCAATGTTTTCTTAATTTTTTGTTTATGAGTACATATTACTATGAAGTTTGTTCTGCACTTTTAATTTGTGTATGTGTTTAACATGACTTCTTGTTCTACACCATAATTTCTTTCTTTAATCACTAACATTACGAAGTAACTCATCTATGTTTTACGAGCACTCAAAACTTCATACACAAATATGCATCTGTAAAATTAACAATCTATTTTAATGGACCTACAAAAAACCATTGCTATCCATGGATGCAGATAATTTCATTTCTGCAATTTTCCCTAGGTTGTGCTTTACGAAATTAAAGCTGCTACTACTGGCTATCGAGATCAAGGGAGAAGGTGGCGCTGACAGCAAAATATCAATTAATCCTCGAGGTGCCAAAATTTCAGCCAACACTCAGGGTTTCTTCATCGCTCAATCGGCTGACGAAGTCAAGCGGTGAGCCATAAAATTTAGAGCTAAGATTTTACAATCTTGCAAAAATATAAGTGATATTTATTTAATTCGATGCACCAACTAAAAAACCAATCAATCTGTCCATTTATTTCAGTGCCTGGTTTTATTGTAAAGCTTGTCACGAAGAGATCAAGGACGAGACCTTGATCAAGAAGTGCAAATGTAAAAACTGTAAGTTTTTTGAACTGAATTTAAAATCCGAAACTTTGACAATTAATCTTTGATGACGATTGATAACTAAAATTTTTTTCTAAAAACCCTCGTGTCTATAAAAGCGATTAACGCAATTAGCGCGAAAAATTTTAGGACGTTTGCTTCACCAATTGCGAGTTATTTGTTCAATTCAGTTAAGCGACATATGAAAAACACGTAGCTCGCAATAATAAAACAGAATACTATTTGTTAATCACGTAAAAATTCTTTGGTATAGACACACTTGGTTTGAGTTTCTAATTTTACGATGAAAAAATATGCCCTAAATAGTTAGCGACATTTGACATAAGATTGACATGGTTGTGACAAAATTATTGTGATATATTGATTTAGTGGGGCAGCAGCAGCGCTCTTGGGGCCGGGACCTAGGTAACAACGTCTCTCTCTCTCTCTCTCTCTCTATCTCTCTCTCTCTCTCTCTATCTCTCACTTTCTCTCACTCGCTCGCTTAAATTTTTCTTCTGTACTTCTTTTTCTCTCTTCTTTGACTGTTCCTCATTATCCAGACAAAAAGATACTTTTTTTACTATCGCTCTCTCAACTGCCCTTCATTTAAAAATTTAGTTAACATCCCATTGAAATGAATTGGTTTTTTTCTGATATTTTTGATTTTCTTAAGCCATCCATTGATTTATCAGTTAAAACTTTTTATAAATTTAGAAGTTTTGTTGTAGTAATATCAACGCTAATTTTCCCTATGAAATTAGTATTTTTTCTTTATCTAATTCCATTACGTCGTCCGAATCATATCATTTTTTCAATGTTGAAATCCGCTGTCCTGATATTTTTTCGTTCTTTCTGAAATTCAGTCAGTCTGTCTGACATCTCTTTCTCTCTCTCTTTCTCCCTTTCTCTTTCAATCTTTCATTAATTCTAAACCTCTATCTATTTCTTTATCTATTTTACCGATTGCTTTAAAAAATTACTATTAGTTATTGAAAGTTATTTGAGACACCATTTGCAGCCTGTTGCTCACATCGTAATTTTTTATGAGCGCCTGTTTTCTTCTGTCCTGTAATATTAAAAGTAATTTATTGCATTCATCACGGTGGTTTGGCCTTGATACGTTTAGATAATTACAATGACGAAACTCTGCCTTCATTTTTAAAAATTATTTTGCTCTATAAGAGTACACTCATTTTTTTTTATTTCGGAAAAGTGTAGAAAATAAATTTACCTAATTGGAATGTTATGGGATGGACGTTTCATTTTTAAAATTGCTATTTAGAAAACCCATGAACCTTCTCAATAGTATCTTCTATAGAATAAAAACGAAACGCCATCAGGTTCGCATTTTTGATGATGCCGTAATATTATATTTTGTAAAAATTTTCTTTCTCAACTTATGAAGCAAGATCAAGATCAGTCGAGTAACGCCTTGTTCGAAAATTAAAAAAAATATCAAGTTTCAAATCCTGATATTGCTTTATATTTGAAGAAAATCTAGATTTTCCAGTCGGCTGGCTCGCATGCCTATCTGACAAAATCACACTAAATTCATGTTACTTTTTGTTGTTTTCGAGAATGAAGTTCAGGATTTAATGAAATTAGCTTTGCACCCTAGCGAGTCACAGTTTACTTAATTTTTCATTTTTTTTACTCATCCTTATTTTTAACTTTCTCTCTATCGTCTCTCTCTTTCTTTATCTATCTCTTTTTCTCTGCCTATCTCTCGTCATATAGAATCATAAACATTGATCGGTAATTACGTTGATTCTTGTGTAATTCGCCTACATCTTCTTGCATGCACGCAATATTCTACTTAGCTACCATCTTCAAGATAATATAGATCGCACGATTTATATACGACCTTTGTTTGATAGATTTAATTTATTATATCTTTTTCGCTACGTGACATTTTTTTCTTGTCATCAAAGTCGAAACTTTTTCGTCGCGTAAATATATCTCGTTTCACGGAACTTAGATATTTACGATTTAAACTGTAATAATCACGACCTAAAAATATTCCCCGAATATGTATTTTTAGCATTAATTACATTTAATGCGTAAAAAATGATGGTATATAAAAAATAAACTTACATGGGTGAGAGAACACTGCACATATTAAGTTGGAGCATATTCTAAATATGCCTATGTGGTGAAAAAAGGACTATAGCTTTCCGATTGTTCTCTCTTACTTTATCTGAACGTTCCTTTTTCCTTTCACTTGGCTACTAACTCGTCTTTTTTTGGATTTGTAACGTTCATTTTATTTTATTCTATCTCTCTCTTTCTCTCTCTCTCTCTCTTTCTCTTTCTCTCTCTCTCCTTTTCTTTCAGGGCCCTCGACTTACCTATTATTTCGAAGTCAAGATTCGGCCGATAAGCACCGATTTTGCAGCTCGGTTAAGCTTTGAGTGCTCAAGAGATCTTTTTTCTGTCTTCGTTGTATCTATTTCTACTTTTTTTAGAGTATGTCCATCCTTTTTCCGTAAAGTTCGCAGGAGAATGCGAAAAATACATTTGGTACTTTAGTTCAAATTAAGTACTTTCAAAACTTCTTTTTTTTTCGTTGCTCTTTTCGATCGTTTTCTCGACGCACTCTTTGAGGATTGTAGGCAACATATCTGTGGAAATTCGTCGTATCTTTTTGTTATTGAGTGGCCGACGCTATAACTAGATTTTAAACAATTGACGTACTGACGTTACTTTATATGGAAACGTTAATTTACACTATGCGATGAAAGATTCTGCAATAAACCCTGGGCAACATTTTGGCATGTAGTAGCATCATTGATTTCAGCTTACACATACATCCGTGAGAATTCCCTTAAAATATTGTGTGATTAGAACGAGCAAAAGAATTAGTAAATTAATCTCGCTAGATGCTGTCATTAACTGCAACAAGGAAGACTGAAACTTTTAATTCTTATTCAACGCGATGGACATTTATAAATTCATAAAATAACATAAGAAGCTTCGCCGAAATGTGTAAGACACGTTAAAAAAATATAAACGAAGAGGAGCTGATACTTGTCATTAATGCTAAAATTTTCAAAACAAAAAACACTGAATTTTTGCAGATGTGGGAATGATGATGATGCAGTCTGGTATGGTGAAGACTAGTAGTAATATCGTACAAAATACAAATGACGGTACGATTTTCTTTCGTACTCACTGCTTTCACGTGAATTTTTTTATTTTCTTTTCAAAAAATTCCAAAGATTTCAAGTTAAAAAAAGTTGTCGTGGCGCTGCTATTAAATTTGCCCAATTCGGCGTACACAATGATACAAGCACATTTGAATAGACCTTCCGAATATATCCTCGCATTATACGACACAGCAGGGAAGCAATAGTAGTTTTCCTTTCTGTGTCTACGTTCTAACGATTCCTACCTTACAAGAGCTTAATATCCTTTGAATGACATTCCACTCTCCAATTCCAACGCATATCCTTTTTCTCTCTTTTTCTTGGTAATGCCAATATAATATAAACACACCTAATGCTATCCGTTAATGATAAAAGCTTCAAAACATTGAAACTCTTGGCAATAATGAGAGCTTTTAGCTATTCACTTGAACGCAGCATTAACGTTGCTTAATAAAATAATTTATATTTATATATCGTGCCGATCGATGTTCTTATTCTTCTATATTTAATTATTTTGATGTTGTGTAACGTAAAAGACACTGGGTTTTAAATAATTTTTAAATGCTATCTGATTTTTCAAAAGGATTTTATATTACACAATATTTTAATGATCGATGTTTGTTTATAAAAAAATGTTTTACAAAGAGTTGCTGAATTAATATAAGAGCTCTTTTCAATGCACCTCATTTGGGCCAGCACGTTTACGTATGTTATTGTTCATCAATTAACATAATGATGTTGTCGTTAAATTTTGTTTGAAGATTTGCGCGAAAAAATTTCGCTGGTTGTATTATAATAATTCTTGTGATTGGCTGAATTTCTAGCCGGAAACGTGCTAACGCTTAAATTAAAAATTGCTTGATGGCAAAGCTTGTTGCAAAATAACTAATTAAAATAACATAAATAATTGAATACTAACGATGTACGTTTCCAACCATTGGAATACGTGTAAATAACAAAGAAAAAAGATGCAATGATCTAATTCGTTCCAACGTAAATAATCGTTACTGTGCGACACAATTAACAGTGTAATTCTGAAAGTCTAAAGCAATGAAAGCTAAAAGTGAGATATAAGCAGGAGCTTAAAACCTGGCTTACACGTACTCACTGCAAATCAAGAGCGATATTCGATGCAAGAGACGCAATCTATCGAAACTGTCACTGATGGATGAGAGTCACTATCCTTACTTACACAGGAGAGCCTATATTCGATGCCTAGCACACAGACTCATACACACACGTACAAACACTTATTTGCTGCCGAGCTTTTGGCGAATTTTGGAGGCTAACAAGCAGGCGGTGCGATCAGTATTCTCGATTGCGGTAAATTTTATAGGCATATTGACATTGTCGCAAGGCACGCTGTTAAAATGTAGTGCAAATCTCTCCGATATTGGTTGGTATCAATCGATAAACCCGTGAAATAGATGCCCAGGGTTTACCTAAACAAGCTTAAACTCGATTTTATGATATTTTATGATATGATATTTTAATAGATCGATAACTTTCTCTCTCGAAAGAAATCATTTTCTTCCATAGTCGCAAAAACAACATAATTATCTGAACAGAATATAAAAGTCATTGGCAAATCTTTTCGCGTTGATAATTCTACCAATTGTCTATTAAAACTTTTCCTTTCTATTTTAATGTACATGGTCATCGTCAATGACGTTATTCATATTTGATCGAACATTTCAATCATGTTTTATCTGTTGCATTGATTAAATGTTTACTAACGTGTTGGAAAAAAAATTCTTTCGTGACCCTATTCGTTGTTGGATAAAAAAAAATTAACTACTGTGACTAACAAATTATGGTTCTCTTCCTCCGCTCGGGCAGTGGCTACCTTCCGGAAAGGCGTTCGGGCTGTTCAAATGGTCGGAAGAGCAAGTACGTATCCTCTCGAGAGTAGAATTGTCTTAATAATACCCATAATCACATCATCTTTCAACACATGTGTTCATAAAAAAAAAGAATCAAAAATATCATTTATTATCTAAATTGGAAATCACGAGTTCTACTTGTACTGTGTCGAGAAAAAGTCTTGATATTTATTTGGCTCTATGTTTAGAAACATTTGTGTTTTTCAAACAATGTGACTTTTTCTTCACGCACAGTTCACTATAATTTTCACAGTTCCGTTTCAGACTTGTTCCTTTATTGAAAAGATAACTAAAATGAAATTAAAATTCTTATTTTGATGAAACGATTTTCATTGTTATAAAACAACTTTATCATACATTATAAAATGTATTTTCAGTCTGAAATGAGAATAATGTGAAATATTTAAAAAAATCAAAATAAGTCTTGTATGGGAACTACAAAATTCGACCACAAATATTCACATCCAAGTCCTTTTTCACGATTTATCAGCAGATTTATGTAAAATCGTTGTTTATGTGGGATCAATTAAACCAGTGAAATCAAAAAAACCAACTTGTATCCTTAGTAGTGGTCCCATTTTTAGTGTAAAAAATAACATTTCCTACTAAATGTGGTGTTTTCTCCAAATTTCTGCTAAACGGTTTATACATGAACATTATTTTGTATACCTATATATCAATGTCGTAAAAGGAATGCCAGTATGTTAAATTACATATTATATTTTAAAAGAGTTTTTTTCGGTGTTGTTGATGGTTTTACTGTTGGTTTAAAAATTATTTAAATAATTATAATGATAATTAATGCAGTTGACGGTTTTTTGCCAATGGATGTATACCGTTTTTTCATGCGAATGTAACAATGCATTGTGCATTGAAGAGCATCAGTGTTGATTTTTCTTTCCATTGATTTTCAATTTTTATTTATATACATTCATATTTAAACATGCGTTCAGAAGGAGAATACATTCTTTCAAGAAAGAATCCTTCACGTATTGTTTTTTGTCATTGTTAATTGCATCCAAAGTTACGTGTATGTATTTATCATAAGTTAGCAATACTTCATCGCATTAGCTAAACAGAGTTGGTAAATGAAACTTTTTTTTCAATGAAAAAGGAGTAAAGGACAGATGAGAATCCATCAGAGAGATGCTGCTCTCTTTACTGCATTAAAATTTAAAAACACTTAAATTACACGTTTAAATTTGTTGCATTCAAAAATCAAGATACACTAAAAAAACATCGCAAATTTACATATCGACGATATATATGTATACAATCGTAAATGAAATAATCTTTTACGCGACCGTTCCTCAGTATCCCTGTGATTTTCCTTTCACATTCTGCATTAAATCTCAACAGTAAATTTGCAAAATCCGTAAGAGGATACAAAGTAAAACATGTTTCAAATGTCAAAAATTCATGATTTGTATCCTCTTGAAAATCACTTGTGTCAGTTGAATCAATAAATACGTGTGTTATGATACTTATTGTAAAGTATATCACAGAAACAAAAAAAAAAAAAAAAACAAAGGAAAACTAAATCTTTCTATTGTGTTTGTCTCACGATTCTCTTTTCGCTCTATCTATCTCTATCTTCGTGCGTTCTTGAAACTTGCTCTACATACGCACACATCAGGTGACGACTTCTCTTACTCAAGTAAGTCTACAAAATCAAAAAAAGTAAATAAATAAAGGAAACAATTGTTTAAAGGTGAAATTTGTAAGATTTTTGCTTTCTTACATACGAATGTATCTGTACTGTATAGAACTGTATGATAATACCCTCAATTTAAAAAAAAGATTATTGAAATCCGACTGTGCCACGTTGGAGGCACTAATTAAATGCTTTTAAATAAAATCCTTACCGTGCTCAATATATATAATAATTGCTGATTCGAGCCTTATTTAATGTAATCGAACGAGATTTCAGTTTGTCGATTATCTCGGTGCCTTGCATATTTCGCATTACATGCCGTATTATAGATTACTTAGTATCATCAAAATTATTATCCACTGTAAAACGTCTCTCTATCCGTCTCTTTCGTATATGTATAAAAACATCGCTTCAGTATTGTCGTATCGTATATAATGTATACTTGGATCGGAAAGCTTTCGTTTGTGTATTTTCATGTACATGTAAACTTCTTATAGGCTGGATTTTTTCGTACATAAGGCGAACTATTATTTTTCGATTAATTTCTTTTTGTAATCTTATTTTCTCACTTTTTAAGTAAAGCTTTTTATTAAAAAAATACCTACGTTAAATTCATTACGCAGTGGCTTTGTCGTAGAGTTATACGTTTTTACTTTTTTATTTGATTTTTTTTATGATTTGATCGTTGATTTAGACTCACCGCTTTATTAATCACTTTCCAACGCCAAAAACTTTTTCGTATAATCGCTTCTTCTATTGGATATGTTTAGCTGAAATTCGTTTGAAAAAAAGCTTATTCACAATTTAAAAGATGATGGCAGATTTTGTTCGCACTTTTCAATTTGTAACTTACTCACAATTGCCGATGATCGTTGAACACGACAATAAATCATTAGTAAGCATTCGTATAATTAAAGTGTCAACGTGTATACACGATCGTTTGTGCAAAATGCTCACTATTTCTTCATTCTTTCAATTAGCCTATATAAATATATCAATGTCATTAACATCTTTTCACGTCTATTTGCACATAAGTATCCTTTATTGATAGTAAATATGCTCCCAATGTAAATTTACGTACGTAATTCGTGCATGAATTTTCAATTCACTGTACGATATGGATTCTATTAAAAATTCACCCATAGGTTTGTCATCACTTCACTATCGTTTTTATAAAAAAAAACATGCATACAGTAGGCTCATAATAACTATCTTATTGAATAAACACAATTTCATGATTTGAATGCGTAAATTAAACACTGCTTTTTGTGAAAATAATATAAAAAAACTTTTTTTCAGATTATATGGTGTATCATATGTAAAGCTTTTAATATTCATGCTGCACATTGCATGTTCGTAGGTGCATTTGACAGTAGAATAATAAACTTGCTTTTGCAGAACTCTTGCGTTAAAGTTTTCGAAAAAGTGTCTCACGAATCATAAAATTTTCAATAGATTAAATTGCAAAAGCTTGTTCAAACGAGAATGGATAAGTGCACACTTTTTCTCATTTATAGAGATTTATTCTTTCTAAATATTTGATGCATCTCACTATATAAGTGTACAAGCCAAAGTTTTTTTGTCAAATAAAAAAAATATTTCCATGAATTTAAAATAACTTGGCAAAAAAGTTTCACGCACGTACTCAATGACAATGATTTAAATTATGAATTTATTTATTGTTTACTCTAGTTGGCACGAAAGTAGTTCATAATCTAGGTCATAGGTAATTTAGTTTAGGGTAGCTAATATGTGTAGTAATTTGTTACAGACGACCACCATCCTCCCCCCACATTCACTCCGCCAGAACTGCCCAAGATGGTTCACGTGAGAGGTATAGTTTTCACACCTCAGTCAAACCATGCTACAGCCTCGCAATTTGCTCTTTATATCTCTCTACCTTTTTTGATCTAACGTATTTAAATACTAACGACGCTAAAAGACAAAAAAACTAAGTGCTGTTAATAACATGTAATCGTTCATAATTACTTTTTAATTTCCTTTCTTTACATAAATTGACTCACGGATAAATCAATAAATTTTTTTTTAATTTTTTGAACATTTAATAAAAAAATTAAAATAATTTTATGACGGTTTTAATCGATGTTTTTCAAATGATTTGAGAATAAATCTTTTTTCGGTCTAATAATTTTAATTCGTCAAAATTTTGTAACTTGAATTCTAAATTTATAATTCGGGTCGTATACTCAATTGTTTTCGTACGTCTAACCCTTTTAATGAAATCTTTTCAATATTTTTCTTTTCTGCACTTGTAGTAGATTTTTAGTTCTAGAATTATTTTAGTTACCTAATTTTAGTGAGATATAGAATTGTATAGTTATCGCTTTTTTAAAAATATATAATTTAAATTAACAATATATAGAGTCAGTTATAAGAAAATCTAAATTCAAAATCATTTCAGTTTTATGATTTTTAATTTTTCTCGAAACAGATAAGTTTTACCCCGATACTGTCGCATGCTCCATTTATGTAATGATAAATAAAAATACAGCTCCTTTAAAAAATTTAGAGTAAAATACTTGATGATTAGAGTATAATTTTCATCGGCATATAGAAAATTAAATGTAGTATTTTCATTTAGATCTTGACATTTAATTTCAAGCGGGTATATAAAAAAAAGAAAATGAATCTTTATCCGCTCTAGAGTGACCATCAACCAATAGTTGACTTAGAGTATATTTTTACTTTTCATTCATGGAAATTTAGTCACCACCACGCGTAGTTGACTTAATTAAAGCGAGTACGTGAGTTCGGAAATCAGGCTCTCACGCTTGGACCGATAACATTGCGAGTTCGTCTGTAAGCATGGGAGGCTGCAGGTCGATGGGTTCCATATGCTCCAAAAAAAGTACACAACACATAATATGAAGCATTGCGCAGTATGGGGGGGAGTTTTTCTGTCCATTTCCAGACGTATTTTATATACATAATTGTCAATGCCATGTTAAATAAAAATTTTTCAGATAATTTTTGATTATAGAATAACTGTGAATGTATTTGTGCATTTTATATATGTTTTTTATTACCTAATAATTTGCATAATTATACAATAAATGTCCTAATATATATTAAGTATTATTATCGTTTAACCACGAAAAAAAGGAAATAAATCGTAAGAAAAGATGCAGTGAAGATATTTTCTAATCCTTGTATTTTTGTGTGTGTGGTTCTCCTTAGGTGAAATAAGCCGTGACCGAGAAGACCCAAACGGTAAGTTTGCCATTGCGAGAGGAGAGCTACGCTCCACCGCGACACATGTAAAATGATTAATTCGACTAATTTTGGGCGCACTTTGCTTTCCAATTTACCAGCCGTGCGCAATCACCGGAATTCCGTGGGAATGACGACGATGAACTCGACGAAACAGGTCAATAAGGTGAAGCCGAACGTAAATAGGAACGGTAGCGATGGCTTGTCGAGCCCGAGCCAACCACCGCTCAATCAGCCTAGGTACAAAATACATTGTGTTTTTTCTTCTTCTTTTTCTTTTTGTAAATACATATGAATATCTATTTTTCCTACATACTACTATCAATCACTGAGATCATCCTTTTTCAAAGTGCTTTCATCATGTTTCTCTTCGATACTGTTATTGTATTTATATTTTCGTTTTTTTGGTCACCTTGAAAAATTCACGGATTGCATCTGTAAAAGCTGCACTATTGCGAAAAATTATACGAGATAACGTACACATTATATAATACACTGTTTTAATACGATTTTGGAAAAAAATATGATAAACTCTGTGGTGATTATCGAGCTCTGTGGTGAAATTAGATTTTTTGAAAAAAATTCACGTACACCGAGTTATTTAAATGTTTGCAAGTTCACATATTCCATCTAATTAGCTGCACCCAATTCCGTCACGCATTTACCAAATATAATACTGAAAAATTCACTTGGTTCGCAAAGAATTTTTTTTCACTTTCTTTCGTTTCATTGAGGAAACTCAATTAGAGATAATTGAAAAAGATAATGTATGAGCATGTAGGCGCGTCGTTTATTTTGATGAAGTGAATTCATATCCTTACATCACCTATGGAGGGTTTTCATAAACTCTTCACATTCAAGTCATGCAGGATGAGTATTACATAATTATTAATTTTTCATCTCATTCAAATTTAAAATGAAAATAAAACCCACTGATAATATCAAGTAATAATACATTTTGCAAATTTGTTATAACGTTCGTTAGATTTTGCACGTATTTACATTCAAAGTACATTTTTAGAAAACACAAACATTTCAAAATATATTATCGTGATAAACTTTGTATTGTTTAATATTTCAATCACTTGAGTACATTACGTAGGTTTTTATAACATTAATTGCACAGCCATACAAAATAAATCAAAATTTTGTAGGGTTGTATTATAGTTGCATGTTAAAGTTCAATAATTCAAGAAGTAGTCTGAAACTTACATTCGATTCATCATAAAAATCATGAATTATATTGCTCATTCAATTTTTATAGTCAATCAGAATGACGGATAAATTTAAAAAAATTATTACACATAGTTTAGAAACTTGATTTTTTGAAAATAGTTGAAGCTGCTACCAACGTGCGTTTTACCTTCTAATTTTCCAGATCACAACAAGAGGAGTCCGCATACGCCGGCTACCATCTCGCCTACGAAGTGAAAAAACTCATGTACGCTTTGTACTGCCAATTATCGGCACAGTTAATTTACTTATTTGTTTGTTCATTTTTTCGTTTTTGTTTACTTGCCCTAATATTCTTTGATATTATGAAATTTTAGTTGTGTAAGAGAATTTGCATGACTCGTAGTTGCAAAACAATATGCACACCTATCTTTGTATATATAAATCACATTTTCTACAGCGCCCTTACTTCTATGCACTCTACAAAATTAAGTTGGCTCGAGATAAATTAGACCTTCCGAGGTCACGTGGAAGTTTAATGCTTAATTAGCAAGTAGTTCAAGAAATATTGTCTATATAATATAAACTAGACCAATAAAGTTTAAATAAGCTCTGTAATTAAGACTTCATAATCAAAGATTCGTGAAAAACTATTCCATATTATTGAAGTTGTAAGTAACTTTTTTCAGGTTAATGGTTTTCTAGCCTAGTTAAATATCTAATTAATAAAGTAGAATTGAGCCTTTAAAAATTTATTTTGGCTTTTGGAAGATCAGTTATAGTACTTGGGCATGCAGAAAAATATTATATTTTAGATACTTGATATAATTAATGATATATAAATATGCTGACCATATAAATATTGAAAATAATCATACATCAACATTGATTCAACACGCACTGTACATGTGTTTTAATTTTCTGATGTCTTTTATGTAATAAATATTTTTGTCAAATTATTTAAATATTTGCTTTAAATGGAAGTCTGTATGCTTGTGTGAAATAGTAAGCAAGAGCGAAAAAACAACAATACTAATTCGTAGTCGGTGGAAAGGTGCTTAATTAAGAAATGTCATACGTTGAAGTTGAGCAATTTTCCACCGTAAAAACAATCAACACAAAGAAAATACCAAGCGGACATGTAAGAAAATGTTTCTGTTGTCGGGCCTTTGCTTCGCGATGACCCTTTGCGCACGACGAAAAATGCAGGCCGACGAACCGAGCGACCGGCGGCTCGAACGTCAACAACAACGGCGGCTTGCAGATCGGCATCGCGGACGACCAAGCCAAGGACTTTGACTTCGAGAAGACAGAGATGAAGTACGACTCGACGGGCATGTTCCACTGGAGCCCGGCCCGCAGCCTCGAGGACTGCATACTCGACCGCAATCAGGCGGCCATGACCGTGCTCAACGGCCACGTGGTCGTCTGCCTGTTCGCCGATCCGGACTCGCCGCTCATCGGTCTGAGGAATCTGGTGATGCCGCTCCGGGCTTCCAATTTCCATTACCACGAGCTTAAACACGTTGTGATAGTTGGCTCGGTCGATTACATAAGGCGCGAGTGGAAGATGCTCCAGAATCTGCCTAAGATTTCCGTCTTGAACGTGAGTATACACCGACGACGATGCACTCGATTCGCTAATTAGCAATTACGCCGCTAGATTCCATCGGCAGTGGCTAAGGGGGATCGGATCCTCTTATCGGATTATGCAATTTAATCGCGAAATTCGCTCGAACTCCCGGCTCCAGTCCGTACATTAAGGCATATGATTTGTTGCGATCCGCAGGGTTCGCCGCTGAGTAGAGCTGATCTACGGGCCGTTAATGTGAATTTGTGCGACATGTGCTGTATCCTGTCGGCTAAAGTGCCTAGCAACGATGACCCGACCCTCGCCGACAAGGAGGCCATCCTAGCGTCCCTGAACATCAAGGCGATGACGTTCGACGACACGATCGGCGTCCTGAGTCAAGGTAAGCTCGCTCGACTTTTCTTCGCCGCAGCTCGACGCGTTCCGATTGACTGACATTTTTCATCGACATTTGCAGTTGGAAGTCCGATCGTTCTACAAAGGAGGGGATCCGTTTACGGGGCCAACGTTCCAATGATCACTGGTACGAATCGTATACCAATGTCACTGCAGTTCCGAATCATCTTTTGAATGTCATCTTATTTTTTTCTTCTCCAGAACTCGTAAACGACAGCAACGTTCAGTTCCTCGACCAAGACGACGACGACGACCCGGACACGGAGCTTTATCTCACTCAACCGTTCGCTTGCGGTACCGCTTTCGCTGTTAGCGTCTTGGACTCTCTCATGTCGACGGTACGTATTTCATTTCTCGTTCATCTTCGTAGTTCTTTACAGTTCGTTTCTCATATTGAGATCAAATTTCGTTGTGTCTTGCAGACGTACTTCAATCAGAACGCGCTGACGCTCATCAGGTCGCTGATCACGGGTGGTGCGACGCCCGAACTCGAGTTGATCCTGGCCGAAGGCGCCGGTTTGAGGGGTGGTTATAGGTATGGCATCGTTCTTCCAAATCAACACCGCTCATTGTCTTACAGTTTATAATTTGTCTTTTTCTTCTTACTTGGCAGTACCGCGGACAGTTTGGCCAATCGGGATCGGTGTAGAGTGGGTCAGATATCGCTTTATGACGGGCCACTGGCCCAGTATGGCGAAGGAGGCAAGTACGGCGATCTCTTTGTCGCGGCTTTAAAGTCGTACGGAATGCTGTGCATTGGTCTTTACAGGTACAGGTATCGGACTTTCTTTCCTTCGATGGTATTTATTGGATTTGTGAATTGAACGAAAAAGCAAAAATATATATATGAGCGATGAAAAATAATGCATTTTACCGCTCACATGGGCCCAGCGGCTGTCTGTCTCTCTTATATACATGTTTATATATCTATACATCTATTACTACTACTATTATTATTATTATTATTACCATTATTATTACAACTATCTTTAATTTTCTTATATACATTATGCATACTGTGCTGAACGTTTTATTATTACTTACATTATTCGCTCTATGTTGTTATTCAATCCGCCTTTTTACGCAATATAAAACGACCGATGCGAATCCTCTTCAAGGGTCATTCTCGCACGTCGATGTCGAGCGTCAAAGACTATGATTTTTTCCATTTTTGATGCACTCTTAAGATATAATTTGCTCTTTTGCGTTCACTGCATCGGAAAAGTTTTATTTTCAAATAAAAAAGTCGATCAAAGAATTTCTGCAATAATGAGTAACGTTTTTACGCGCAGTAAGTTTCTCCATCCAAAAAATATCATTTAAAAAAATAATTTTTTGTCTGTCTCTATGTCTCTCTCTTTTCTAACTCTATTTTAACTCACGTTTTGATCTCACTCTTCTCATTGTTTGTCTCTTTGTTATCACGTCTTTAATTTTAGTTTTTAGCTTGAAGCAGCAGCATAAATTTTAATTTCTCACGAACGTTTAGTTCTTTATATTAGTTTAGCTTTATGTGTTGTGACTTACCGATAAACAAAAAATTTTTTAGTTAACGGCTTTGGCTCATGAAATATAGGAGGGTTTGCTCTCTGCGCAAGGCGTTGGGAATTCAAAATCTCTTCGTAGATGAACTATCGACTGCTGATTTTCTATTCCCAATGCTTGCAGTACTGAAGAGAGAATTCCTCATGTGCATATGTATATAGGTAATATGTGTGCGTTCGGGTGGCATTTAAAATTCACTAGATTGCCAACCTCTATTCGATATCCTGCGTACACATGTGCTAAAAAAATACGATCGGATCTAATTCGGCTTTTTGAAATGACTATGCGCAAAAATCATATCAACGTTGTCAAAATAGCACTGGAAATCCGAAAAATGAAAGAAAAAGTGCGATTCGTGTGCAGTGAAACGAATTAGTGTGATTTTTTCGGATTTTTGGAAGCATACATGGCTTCTTGAATAATTAGCGCAGGATTATCGAAAAAATGTTTGAATTCGGTCCGTACGTATATGACCTAGATAGATACATATGTATTTGTGTCTATGTGTGTGTTACTAGCTGGTCCAATAGAATCAAATAATAATAGCTTATTCAAATACTTTTAGATTTCGTGACACCAGCTCTTCGTGCGACGCATCTTCGAAGCGCTACGTTATCACGAATCCTCCCGACGACTTTACACTGCTACCGACAGATCAGGCAAGTTATATTCCGCGCATAGATTCGAGCGAATCGTTCATCTCAAGACCGTACTCGTGCTAATTTTCCATCGCTTTGCAGGTTTTCGTCCTGATGCAATTCGATCCGGGCCTCGAGTACAGGCCGAGTCGAGGCGCGCGAGGCAAGGACGACGCTTCCTGACTGTTGCTGTGTAGCGCCCTCACCGATGGACCATATTCCTACATATAAGCTCGACTTGGATGATCTTCAAATCAAAAGTTAGATTTTGAGCTGGATCGAAGAAGCAACGAGCTGCAGGAATAATGTTTGCCGATTTTTTCGAAGAATCGAGCGTGCTCACGCACGCGCTACTGCATCATACAAAATCGCCTTTCGCCCATCCCCTTCGATCATCGTGATTTCTCAGTGTATATAAATATAAAGAAAAAAAGCAAAAAAAAAGTCATAAGATGAGTCGAATGCAAAACGGCTCAACCTGTAATTATCGTCATCTTCATGAAGAAAGTAACGTCGACTCGACGCAACTAGAGGCATGGAACTCGTCCTCATGAATTCACTTTCATCGTCATCGGAAATGAGAAAACAAGGAAAAGAAGAAAAAATAGACCCCCTAGCCACGCGACCCTCTCCCCTTTGTTGCTCGCCGATGTTCACGTTTGTCAAGTAGTATATAGCTGATATAAACAATGGCCTTTCTCTCGCACACACGATTCACGCCTATTGGGCAGTACTCAGTACTATACGCGCGAAATTGGCTCTGCATCGAGAGACGGCCACAGTCGCCAAGCCATGTAGCGAATGTGTATATTACTAAGCATTTCCTTAAAACTCGTGTTATTTGCTATTTATAGATGTACGAAGCGCACGAGCAGAAATGTCGTTCATACAAACAGCGGCCCGTGTATTTTTCTTATATCTATTAATAGTTGTCATACGATTTCCCGATACCTGCGGTTAGATAAATCGAGGCCTAATACACAAACAAACACACGTACACACAAATCAGTATGGATTGAAAATGTCTGAGGAGATATTCTCGTTATAGTTTTCTTTTTATTTTCTGCTTTCAATACCGTTCAAGACGTAGCGATTTTCGAGAGATATTAAAGTTATGGGATACCAAAGCGTTACTTTCGATAGTTCAATGAAACATGAAAAACACGATAATTGTGTATTTTTATTTGTAATATAATATATAGTTTGCAATAACAAAATAATTAAAGGAAACGACGGCGACACGCAAATAAAGGCGGCCGTTCCGCGGCGATGATGATGATGAACAATGACGACGATAATTATCGCTGATAAAAATTCACAATAACGAAAGAAGAGGATAAGTGAGAGTTAAGTTAGGCGCGTGCGGCACGACGTATCACGGTAAACGAGGGCTGCTACACGTACACACTTACACGTTTAAATACATTTATAAATAATATATATTTATTGAAATAAATATATATATACAGCTATGCTGTTGAGGCATTAATACTTGAGCTACTTTTTCAACAATCCTGCAACACCAGTCAAAAATAACATATTAATAATTGGCTTGAAAATTAATTCGAAGCTAGTACCGTAAATCTGATTTTGCTTCTAGTTGGAAATTCTCCGACAGCGAGAATCGCTTCTTTCTCGAAGATATAAGAAAAAAAGTTACTTTAGTGATGCCTTGTCAGCATGAATATGTAAAAAAATTACATATAGATTAAACTTATTGTAATATTGAGCTCGACTTATATGTAAATTTTCCATCTTCGTCGCGAAAATAATCACAATTTTTCATTTCAATTCAATAAGGCTCGACTTTCTCACCATACATTGACACAAAATCGAGTGTAGGGGATGAATCACAGGTTTTTATGTATTTCTAAGTACGGGATAAGACAGATGACGTGGTTTATGTCCAGTGTCAGTTCTTTTTTTATTATTTTTGAAAAAATTTCAGAACTTTTGACGACGTTTCAAAGGACAATTTCGAAAAACAGAGAGTGAAAGGAAGAGAATTAATAGTAGAGAGTAAAGGTAGATGCGAGAGTTTCAATATCTTAGATCGGTAATTAAATTTTGATGAAATCTGGAATAATATACAAAATAACGTAGAAAGAGACATTTTTTGAATTATTATCGTGTTTAAATAGGTTTGATATACTGCGCGCAAATAAAGATTCCGTAGCTTTAGTAAAAATAACGATTCGAGAATTTAAAATTTCTCACGTATTATATTGATAAAATATATTTACGTACAACACTTACATGTACAATGTATAGTGTCGATAATGTTTTCTTTTCAATAATAAAATATAATCGAAGACTTACTTGTGAAAAGTATAATAATAATATATATACGTGTATATATATATTTTACGAATATACGTACTTTATTGACTTTGAAAAATACTTGTATGATAATTATTATTCATAATACACATTTTTATATGGCGGTATCTATTGTACGTCGTTATTTGGTCTGCGGCACGCATAAAACCTCTTGTCGGCGCCAAAATGTTCTGAAATTTATTCGAAGCATGGATATTACCTCGAGTATATAATTTAAAATAAAAACTACAAATGAAATGATTTCTTATAAAAGAGACTGGGTAATTGTGACGATCTTATAAATAAACTCGAATTCGAGAAATTTAGATACATTTTTCGTTAATTTCATTATTTTTCGAATATGTAGTTTTCGTACCCCTTGCGTTGAAGGACGCGACGTAAAAATGTTGCGTAACGTATGGATATCGGTCGAAGGCACAAGGCCATCACGCACTCAAAAAAATATTTTTTCGCGCTGTATATATAATATGTTTTACTCATTCACACGTACACTTGAAGACTAATTCAAAGACAAGAACAAGAAGAGAAACTAATTACATTGATATACGTAATTACTATTACCAAGTTAATGAGATTCATGAACCGATGAAAAATTGTAACTTTTATCTGTATAATCATGAAAATAAACTTGTGTCTTTTCAGTTTGTGGGTGTCAATGAAAATTTCAATCAAGCACTTTGTACAGAATTCTAATATACATATTATAAATACGAAAAAAAAATTATTATTATACGTAAAAATAAATGAATAAATAAATTTATGAATATACAAGTATATATAATAAAAGGGTAAAAAATGTGCGGTAATTGTAAATGATAAGGCGATATATACCCTTTTCCACACAATTTTACGTAAGAAAAGATGATAATGAAATTTATTGTATAAGTGTAAATGCGTGGCATATATTGATTACATATAAATATAATTATAAAAAATGAAAAATACATACTTGTGTACATGCACGGACAGACACACGTATACATACGCATGCACATCGTCGTGTATATGTAAATGATGAAAAAAAATTATGCATGTGTGGACATAGACACTCTCTTTTATATATTTTTGTGAAACTCACGCGCGTGTGTGTATATATTATACATATAATAATGATAATAATAGTTATAATAATAATAAAGTTATATGGACGTTTATTTGAAGAAGAAATGATATATTCAAGTGGTGATTCATTGCCAATGTATCGAATAAAATCTTTGAAATTATTAATTACAATTGAAGGATAAAACTTGTAAAAAATGTCGCATGAATGCGGATTATTCCTTAATGTAGTCATAATGCAAACTTCGAAGAAAATTATTAAACATGAAAATCAATAAAGTCTTAATTTACTCAAAAATAGCACGTTAATGTGTAGTAACATCTTGGCAGTGGTTTACGCTTAATCTTGAATTGGCTAACTTGCGTTGAAATTAGATTTCACTCGGTGTTTATTTGTGAATTGAAATGACATCAATGTAAACGATTTTATGCAATTTTGATGCTGTACTGACTAACTAACTTCACTAATTTAATATCAACAAGATTTGGATTTGGAGAAGTAAAGTGTTAAGATTGTTCAAAGACTTTTTCATTATTTTATATTTTTTTTAATAATATCAAGCTCTTGCAAGTAAACGATGTTTGTTATTCAAAGCGACAACTGCAGCTGGAGGGGGAGTGGACGTAACATTTGCATTGATAATTAATTTCAACTCTTCTATTTTAAAATTGCTATAAATTTTTTTAAGATAAACCTTACTTAGAATACGTTGTTCCATTTCCCCTTTTGAAAGTTATAAAAAATAAAAAATAAAATTGACTTTTAAAAAAGCTCAAGAATTAAAAAAAGAATACTTTAGTCGCAGATAGTAATCGCCGTACTTAAATAAAAAAAATATAATAAAAAAAATGTATAAAAATTGAGTCAAAAACAAAAAAGTGCTGCCGTTGTTGTTATTGTCGTTGTTGTTGTTGTTGCAATTCGTACGTGCATTGTTCACTGCCCCCACAATTCGTGTTATGTAACCTAATGTAACGAATGTTGTAACTCCGCATTCAAACTTAAATAGTCGCCATTTAAACCGAAAGGGCTTATTGATCGTAGCGAGAGGGGATCGAGGAGGTAAACAGTTACGACGAAGATGAATTATTCAGTCGTTGACTAGACGGCAAAAAAAAATATTGATATTCGCCGAGCAGCCATCGGGGAACTTAAGACTGCTGACTCTAATTGTTACGAGGAAAACCAGTTTTTTATATTTTTTTCGGTAATAATAGTTCATTTTACAATGTACGCACATTGAGTCTCCGATTTTTTGATGCTTGAGCAAGAAAAGTAATAATTAAAAAAAATTGAATAAACGTTTAACCGACCTCGATCACTCTGACAGATTGAAAACTGAAAAAAAAATTTACCAATTCATCCATTAGATTCGTAGTTGAGAAGCTGCTCATTCGATTATCAAAACCTTTAAGCATAAAGATGATTAAAAAAGAAGAAAGCAATTCTATTTTGTCGCACTGTTTCGAACGATGATCCCGTTCATGAGCTTACATCATTTTTTATAGCGTAAAAGAGAAAATTAAAAAAAAACTGTACAAAGATAAACCAAGCTAATCGAGTTGTTAAAAGAAAGAACTTTTTCAAACATTTAATTTTTCTTATCTTGTGAATATATATAAACACACGTATATATCTCATACATATGAATAAACACTAAACCTTTGGTCATATCATACGAATATCATATTGTATAAGAGGATAATTTCAGAGGTAGATGTTAAGCGCCATTGAAAATCCTTTTGTCTATCATTTTATTAGGAAAGGGATCATCGACGCTCGAATAGTGCGATAATCGATATTATTCTCGAACTATCTTCGATAATTAATAATCATGCACCAGTTTCAAACGTTCACCCTCTTATTCCATTACTACTTTTTCGAGCACGCTACGTAATACTAATAAAATAAAAATATTATGACCTCATATTAATATGAATATCCATTAATCGTGGAGCGCATTTTCATGTATATGGATCGTTTGTAATAACGTAAAATGAACAAAAACGAAAAAAACATAAACCGATCAACAAACGAATTTAAATATTTAATTTTGCAAAAAAAGAAGCAAACAACGTACAAAAATACAAATAAAAATGCGCTGTACAACGTTGTGTGTTCAAGCATGAATTATATTTAAATAATTAAACCAAAGTTATCCAAATTGAGTGATAATTTGGCTTTATAAAAAAAAGCAAACAGCCATCGTTTGTACAAGAAGACAAGAAAAAAGACTTTTGATTTACTGACCACGCAACAGTCACGTGAATGCAATACAACTTAAAAAATATATATTATAAAAAAAAGGTAAATTTGAAATTGGAATCGCTCTCTGCCAATTCGTACGAGGTATAAAACTTATATTTGAATTAAATAATGAAATGAAAATTGTATGTATCGGTGAAAATGCGGTAGTAAGAAAAAAAAACTAAAATAATAACACGCTACAAACACGCTGCTTATGCTGTGAGGCAAAAGTTCGTATTATAATGTGCGAGATGAATTTAAAAAAAAATTCAAACCCATAAAACTAGGCACGCAGCGCGTAAGCCACTAATTAAACAAAAAATTGCCTCATTGAAAAACTCATCTATAATGCTTTTTTATCTGTACATTTACAATTTGTGTACCAATGAGGGAACGTTGTTTGATCATGTTGTTGATGTTATTGTTAAAGAATGAGATTCAATATTGTACATAACTATATTCATTATAATTGATGATTTAAATAATTATATACATAAAGAAAAGTGAAAATTGAATTATAAAAGTTCGTTGCGTTGATTCATTGATCTTTGCCCTCCGAGCGTCGTCCGTAAAGCTCGTCGTAAAGCTCGAGCAAGGCGTCGCACATGCGCTCCCTGTAGAGGGGCGACTCCTCGAACTGCACCGTGACCAGGGGCGTCCGATCGACGTAGAGCACGCGCTCCAGCTGCTGCGGCTCGTCGACGAAGTACTTGCTGACCGTCGCGGCCTCCAGTAGCATGATCGGGATATTCAAGGCCCCGTGCATTTTGCACATCAGCCCGAGCTCCTCGACCGAGTCGTCGAGCTCGGAGCGCGGGAAAATGTCGTCGGCCTCGAGGGAGCACTCGGCCAGGCTGGAGCTCAGACTCCCGTAGTAGACGTCCAATAAATCGGCCAGACGCTCCTGGCGAAGCGCCCGACTGGTGGAAAATTGCAGGAAGCACAGGATGTCGTGAGCTGGTGGGTTGTACCTGCCGAAATAGCAAGACAACTAGTCCATTACCGTTTGTCCTCATTTTTATTTATTTATTAAAGCTTAATATCTATACCTGGCCAGCTGGAAGTCAATGAGGCAACATGCCGTGGGCTTGCCAGCGTCGTCGTATTTGTACAATATGTTGTTGGCCCAGAGATCTCCGTGGCAGAGGACGTTTTTGAACCTCCTCGACGGCAGCAAGTTCTTGGCGTGGTTCCTCGAGAGGGTCTCGATGCTGCCTTTGAGGATGCGTTTCTGCTCCTCGTTAAAATCTTCCATCAGGTCTACGAGCGCAAGCAAGCCCTTGACGGCGGCATCGAACATGCTCGTCGATCGCTTCTAAAATCGAAACAATCCCAGCTGAGCAAGCGCGGAAACGATCGCCGGAGAAATGATCAAACTTGTATCGCTTACCCCTTTGAGAGGCCAGAGGGTCTCGTGCATGCAGTGAGCGAAGTCGTCGTGCAGGCTCCTCTTCTCCAGCGTCTCGTAGATCAAGCTCTTGGCGTGAAAACGGCCGAGGGTCCGCATCAGCACGACGCAGTGCTCGTAGTCGAAGGGTGCGAATTTGTTGGTCATGCGGAAGCCGCTGTAGGCCATGTCCTCGAGCACGATTATCTCGTCCTCGAGGCCGAGAAAGCACTGGGGAACGTAGGCATGCTTTGACTGCTGCTGCTGCTGCTGCTGCTGCTGCTTAGTCTCACTGACATTGGGCATGATCTCAGGAAAGACGGTCGTATAGAGGTCCACTTCCTTTTTAAAGCTACCCATTTCCTGCATGAAGTCGTGCTGGGGGCTGCTCTCGCAGGGTGGCACTTTCGTGAAGAACGTCAAGCTCTGCGTGTCTTGCGGGCAACCGACGGTGGCTCTGTAATAAAATTACTTTCCAAAGTCCGTGCAACGAAAAAATACCTTTCCATCGCGTACCTCAAGGTGAAGTATTGGCCCATGTAACCATTGACTGCCGACAAAGGTATGACTTCGTAACTTATTAGATCGTAATGGTCCATTGACTCCTGACTGAGCTTTTTACGGATTATTTTAAAGCACTCGTCATCTTTGATGACTTTTTTCTCTGATAAACTTTTCATTTTGCCGAATAAATGTTCAAAATAAATTACAAAACGATACGGTTACTGTGAGCTCGCAGGATCAAATGAAACTCGAATTTAAGTTCAAGGTCTCTTTATATAGTGACCGATCAGGACTCGAGTAGTTCAATTGACAGCGTAAATTGATCTAAAACGACGATTTTTCAACTATGATTAAAGCTAATAATAGATACACATTTTTCAATTCTAGACTTGGGAAATTGCCATTTAAAGTGTTCGTATTGATATTTATGGGGCAGCGTATTGAAAAAATTACCTCGCGATTTAATTCAAACAAATTTTCTTATCGGAATGTGGTGATGTAAAGGTTTACCAATAACTCGTAGTCATCAGAGCATAAAAGAACATGAAAAAATTTCCCATTGGAAATTAATACGCTCATATTATCAAACTCAAACACGCGACATTAAACTATGGTCCAGTTCATGGACTTGACTAGTTGTTGAGCTCGTCTGTCACAGATAATTTTTTTTCTTTTCCATAGAATCGTCTACAATAAAATGAACGAGGAAAGTCAATTTAAGTAGGCTGATTATAGTTAAATACAATCGTCTTTGCGTTGGATAATTGACACGCGTTAAGCCTATGCTCAAGTGGTCAACGAATATCAATGTAAAATATATTACAATTATATTTGATCTACATTATTTTTATCTCTCTAGTGTCTAGACTTAATAAATGGTACATTTTAATTAATATCGATAGAAAGTTTATCTTGCTCTGTCAGTTTCGATTCTAGACGTTAATTAAGCGAATGATTTTCAAGTAATGAACTAAGACTTTTGTATATCGTGTATGAATCTTGAATTTATAAAAATTCTAAAAAAATCTCTCAAAAATCACTTCTGAAAGGGAGAAAAAAGACATGTGAGAAATGTATATACTGGCAATTGTGAATCTTGTGCTCTAGCACGCACACTTGGGCCAAGTAAATCATGTACGTGCTTACCGCACATACACACAAGTATAATTGTCATGCATCAATATACTTGCACATTTAATGTATAAATACGTGTGAACGAAGAGGAGAGAGAGAGAGACGTAAGTGAGAGAGGGACAGAGAGAGAGAGAGAGACTAAGTTCCAATCGCGAAATGTCAAAGGTCAGCCAGATGAGATATTTCAAAAAGTCACGCCGCTCAAGCTCCGCGTTTCAGCTGCGTCGCTGATGATGATGACTGAATTGCAGTTGTAGACTTGACTACGTATTCGTCGCGACGTCAAGCCATAGACGCCGGTTTGATCTATCTTTCTGTGTTGCATTGTCGTACGGCCCATCAATTGACAATTGCCGGATCAGTCGCCCGAGCAGGTAAGATTGGTCCTTTAATAATTTACGAGCTCGCTCGACCTACCAGACGGGACATTTTTTTTATTTTCGCATTTTCCCCTTATCAATTTGTCTTGCAATTAATTCGATCGAGAATGTACCTTACCGATTTTTCAATTTAGATCGAGTAATTATCATTTTTTCATACCTTATGTTCGGCTACTTTCTGGACTCGTGTCGTTCATTTATCAAGCCAATTATTGTTTCGAAAATTCATCGCGCTAGCAGCAAACGTAAAATAAACGTTGGTCGTTTCTACCTTTAAAAATTCGATAAAGACAGTGAAACGATCTCGTATACTTTTTCAGCAGCTTGATTCAAGTCCGCGGCTCAGTGATTGCGTTTGCGTTGACTTTCGGTGCGTCGATCGATCGATGCGTTTGGGGGATCGTCGATGCGCTCGAGATACAGCCGAAACGTCGAACAAAACATTTTTTTTTGTAAATTTCATTCGCTCGATCGACGATAGTCCAACACGCATTGGAAATATTTGCACTTGAACGCTGCCAAACCTACATTCGATTTCTGTGGCACTATCAACTTCCGTTATAAGTTATCGCTGCGTCTGATACATTCTGACCCTCGTGAAAAAAGTCGTTGAATTTTCACGTATTATACGCAGAGAAGCATACGTATATATGCACACATACGTACGTATAATACTGCTGGCGCGTACTGTACGTATGTCCGCGTGACTTATCGGAACTCGGAGCCGCTGCATAGGATAATTAATAAAAACGATTTATTGAAAAAGCGGAAATTTTCCAATATGCAATTGCAGCTGCTGCTGCTGCTGCGGTTAGTAGCGAGCATAATCGATCGAGTTTCGTGGTATAGAGCTCGAGTCCGAGTCCGAGCGCGATCGCTGTGCTGTGCCGAGCAGCAAAAAATGTAAAATATATACTCGCTCGTCGCGTCTGGCCGGCTCCGCAAAAATTGCAATTACACGAAGACGGCGCAAACTTTGGCTTTTAGCTGGCAAAGACAATGTTTTATCGGCCTCCCGATACAGCATTATCAGCAATGTTGTTTTGATCGCTCGGCCGATAGCCCCTTTCGCTCGTGATATAATTGATGCAGGCACATACCTCGACGCGTCTCGAGCACGCGCCGATCGACTGTGTTTTCTCGAAAGTCCAGAAGCCCAACCGATAAGAATCGGTGCAATTGCTGCTTGGTACTCGTTGCAGGAGCTAGATCGCAGCCCCCTTTGTCCCGACGCTTCGACGGCAAAACTGGAGTCGCGCTCGTGCAGGTGCGCGCGCATGCAGCTGCAGAAAAGCCCGAAAACTCAATCGACGCAAGCCCAGTAAGTCCGGTCATTCACACGTCGTTCCTTGGTGCTTTCCGGCCAGAGAGAAAGAGAGAGAGAGCGTGCGAGGAATCATGTCACCGCCCGTGATCAAGAGGCACCAGTCGGAGCTGCAGCTCGAGTCCGTGGCTAAGCTGTCGAGCATACCGATCGTCGAGAGCGGCATCTACATCGCCAACAGCGTCTACGAGAAGATCAAGGTAAGCCAAGTACCGATTCTGGCCTGCTGCACGGACCTCCCCATACATAAGTTGGCAACTTTTTTTTTTTGCCCGCAGCGCTCGAACTTTCTCATGGGATGGGGCCTGGACACGGCCGAGCACTCGTTGGCCCTGGCCACGGGACCGGCGATAAGCGCCATGCACCTCATCGCCCTGCAGCCCATCATGACGATCGACCAATTGCTGTGTCGAGGCATCGACATGGTCGAGCAGCGCGTGCCAGCCGTCACCCTCTCGCCACAAATCGTGAGTCACTCGTTGTACCATCGCGAATATAATACGACAATTCGAGAGTCGCTGAGATTCTTTTTGTTGTCCTGTCCAGATGTACTGGAACACGAGAGAATACGTGAACAATAAATTCGTCAAGCCACTGCTCATCAGGGCGGACAGCGTGAAGATGATCGGCAGCCAAGCGGCCAGCGCAGCCGTCGACCGATTGAACGGCGCCATAGACGTGGCCGATCAGTACGTCGACCACTACCTGCCACCCGATCCCGCCGACAAGATCGCCGAGAGTAAGACCTTTTCATTCAACTTTTTTCTCCGCTCGCGGACAATTTGTTTTTTTCTTCTTCTTTTTTTTCGTCGCTTCTCTCCCTTCTCGTTCTCTCCTTTCTCCTTCTGTTCGCTTGGCTCTTTTTTTGCTCGGCTTTTCGGGCGATAAGTAGCAATTGCTAATGTACGAAATGAGAAAAGTAAAAATAAAGCAAGCTACGTCGAGCAGCTGATTATTTAGCGGATCTCTTTGTTTGTTGCACACGCGCTAATGGGTGTTACTCGACGCGACCACTCGCAGCCGACGTGACGGACTCGGCGGCCAAGAGCAGCGAGGAGACGAGCAAGGCGGTGCGCACGATCGAGCACGGGGCCCGATTCTCGCGCAAGCTCCAGAGGAGGCTGACCCGGCGCACCCTGGCCGAGGCGCGCGCCCTCAAGGAGCAGGGCACCGAGTGCATCCACGTGCTCCTCTACGTCGTCGAGCTGGTAAGACTAATGCACGCGAGTCGAAATAACGACAGTTGGCTGGATCACTCGCCCCCTATTGACTTTTTGTGCGACAGGTGGCGACCGACCCGAAACTGGCCATGCAGAAGGCCAAGGAGCTGTGGGCCTCGCTGAGCCTGCCCGAACCCGAGAACCAGGCCCGCCCGAAGAATCTCGAACAGCTGCTGGTGCTGTTCACCCGCGAGACGGCGCGCCGCCTCGTCCACCTGGTCAACGGCTCGTCGAGCTTGGCCGCCCGGGCCCCGGGACGCCTGGCTCACGCCCTCGTCAGAATCTCCCATCGGCTCGTCTCCATCTCCGAGCAGATACTCCAGGTTGTTAATCGATCACTCTCCGCTATCGTACGAAACGCCCTAAGAATCCTCAAGTCGCTTGGCCCACGCCACTACTCGCACCACACGCATCACTATCACCATCATAGCGAGAGCTCCTCCTCCTCCTCCTCCTCCTGCTCCTCCGCCTCGTCCTGCTCCAACTCGTCCAACCACAGCAACTCGTCCGATCTCAGCTCGTCCGACCGGAGCCTGGCCAGCTGCGAGAAGCGTAAGTTGAACTTTCGAAGTGACGGAGCTTGCGATGCTATTAGCTATAGCGGCTCTGCTGCTTCTGGCGGTCTGGTGACGACCGATAACAATTATCTCTCGCTCGTCGCTAAGATCAACATCATGCCCATCTCGAGGCTGCCCACCAAGATGTGGTCCTCCACCATCATCGAGGAGATCCAGTCGGAAATTAAAGGTAACATGAAGAACAATGAGCATCGGTTGAGGAACGGCGAGGGGATGAGGATCCAGCCCTCCTTGCCTCAGACCAAAGACAATAAAGCCATTCTCTGCTCGACTTCTCCGAATAAGGCTGGAAAACTGCCGGTTCGAAGCTTCCCTGGATACCATAACCGAGAGTCCAACGGACATTCCAAACAGAGTCCGCAGATAGAAAAGAGGATTCCCCTCTTGGCCAAAATCAAGCCAACATCTGCTATTAAGCAGAAAATTTAATCGACTCATTCCGTTTTCTGTTTTTCTTTCTTTTCTTTTTACGTTTTTTTTTCTTCATTCATCTTTTGTTTGGTAATTTTTTTTATCATTATTATTTGGGGATTAAGGAAATTTCATTAAAAAGTCTTGTAACATTGTTTCGTACTAAACACTGTAATGTGCATTTAATCATACGTTCGTGGCTCAATTATTTTTAATTTTTTTAAGTAAGTACTCAATGTACATTTGTGTTAATATTGGTATCGAAGAAATAAACATTTTTCATGTAACTTTTTGTCTTATTATTTATTCATTAAAACTAAACTCATTCATGTACGATCGAGCTTCTTTTTTTTTTAAATCAAAAGCAAAATTCAAAAGCAGGGACTTTATGGAGAAAATCGTTCTTTGTATTGCAGATAATTCCAATGGCCGGCAAGGTGGTCCGTAAAAAATTTAACGAGCGCATGAGCACCCTGAGATACGCAATTTACAGACTGAACTCGGCTACCAATCACTTTTTGGTATGTTCCAATTCTCTTCATCGATTATTATTCCCGAAAAAATTGACACGCCTAGATTTATCCTCTCGATGTATTTATAGGAGCAGATAGCAGCTTACTTGGCCGGGCGTCCCAAGTCATCAAAAAAAGGACTGCACTCTTCGGTTCGCCAATCGAATTACAACAATCATCTTACTAATGCGCAAAATTCGACAAAAAATGGCATCGATTAATGGATCACAAGCTGACCGATTTCAAACGCATCAATAATGAATTATCAAATTATCGAAGTTTTTAATTTTTTTTTTATATATCCTGGATCAATGTGAAAATTATTACTTTCTGGTACATTCAGAGGAGTCGTTACGCTATTTTCTAGGAATTTTTAGGATTAATTTTTCGATACACATTGTGAACAATTGTGCCTGTAGTGATAAGCTGAAAAAAAAATAAATAAAAATACGAGAGATGTAGCAATCAGGGTAATTTCGACCTTGGATTGTTTAAGTTAAATGAAAGAACAAACAAGTATAATGCAATTAATGATATTTTTACCGACGAGTAAATTTTGTAGCGAAACAAATCAATAAAATAATTCATAATTCTTAAGAAACGGCTCGAAGGCAATTCATTCGATCTTTCCTCGCGGAAAAGTGTTATTTTGCACATTATCTATCAGCGGAGTCTTACGACGGCTCTCGAGAAGAGGAAAATAATCTCCAGTGTGGTAATCTGTCTAGACAATTGTTAGACGCTCTTTCGGAAAAAAGCCCCGGCCAATAATTTCGATATTGTAGAAAAAGTTTCTCCGAACGAGAACTGCGAGAGAGCATCAGTGCAGCAGCAGTGGCAGCGAGTACACGTGACCGAGGTTCACAAAGTTTATCGCTCGAGAAGTTAGCATCTCGCAGAGAGAAAGACGATGTGCAGCGCATCGTCGATTATCACCAATTACGAGAGCGAGCGAGCGAGCGTACATTTTTTTTTCCTTTCATCTCTTTTCTACATCGACCTTTATCATACAGATGCTGCTATATAATATACATTTATGCCGGAGTCGCATAATTACAATTGCTCTCGTCTATAAAATTCATTACAATCTTGGCGATTCGTAGCCACGGAGAACGTGATGCGACACACGTAAGTTGCACGTGAGCTGGTAGTGATACGGTCCCAAGGAAATATTTCCCTTACCACACATTACACACAAAATAATTTGCATGACTCGATGATTAATCCGGCGTTGAAAATTAGATCGATTAATTATTGCGCCACGCGCGGCTAGATATCTACGTATCTGATCGGCACAAATTGTTTTGTTGTTGACGACGATTTCGCTGTGGCCCACTCAAAATATTTGACCAATCGAACTTTCAGAGCGGAGAGCTCGAGAGCGCGCATTTTTTTGCGCCTCCGCCAGCAGCAAGTAGCAATGACACGGACGGCTCATTCTGTCGCGTCATCGTGGCGTTTTCGTTTAAATAATAAATTCGCCCCTATAATCTATTAATGTCGGCGACTATGACGGGGACGACGTCTGTTGCGCGCCCATCGTATCGTATCTGCAGGGGGGTAACGAACTCGGCTACGAAGTCCGCGAAAACCACAGCTAGAGAGAGAGAAAGGGAGAAAATGTATCGAAGCGGGAAAGTTACCAGTACGCTACATTGGCCTACGTGTACGATAAGTTGGATACAAAAAGCTCTGCACACCGCCGAGCCGAGTTTCTATATACGTAAACGAGAGCTGCGGCCGCACACATGTGCACTCAGACGCACACACGCGCAGAGTTCGACATCGGGCTCGGTTGCACACACAGGCCATAATATTTCGCGCAAACGCCGTCGTGCGGAGATGCTCGCGCGCATGTCATACATGTAGGCCCCATACAGCCACTGACGCTATACTTACACATTCGCACGGCTGCACGCACGTACGTAGCACAGACAGACGGACGGACACACCGACGAGCGATCGGAGCGGAGACACAACAGGGAGCTCGGCTCACCGCGAGCCACTGCCTCGATAGCACCTCGAGTATCTGCTGTACGAGCGAACCTATCGCACACATCGCAGTGTCTGTAAACCCAAGAAGCAAACGTTTATTTTGACAGAGCCGACGACCACCGATCGCACAACAAATGTGAGTACTTAGTCGAGCATAGTCGCTTTTGATTACTTTGTTTCCAGAGGAAATTCGAATTAGAGTCGCAGCCAAGGGCATTGGTGTTGATACGTGTGCGTATATGCGTGTGCGAGCACGAGCACAGTAGACAATTTTTTGTACTCGTCCCTATACGATATACCGGTTCTCCCAGTTCAGGCACGCGTTGTCTTGGCTGAGGTACTCTATTGTGTAGCAACGACAATTAACGTATACCCTACGTTGTAAAAATCAATTTCCTATCTAACGCTTGCTCCGAAATAAACATTATCTCGCGAGTTTAATTTGTTCATTCAATGATTACCCGGTTGTTTAATCTTTCGAATTTCATTCGAGCCGATTACTTTCGTCGCTTTTGTCAGCAACAATTTTCATCGTGAAACTCGAGCGAAAGATGCGCAGAGCGCCGCTATAGTATCGTGAAAAATTAACACTTTTACTCGACGCTCGATAAGAAAATCGATTCTCGCTTTAATTATAAACATTCGCAGTCGCTTTGTCACGTGTCTCGCAATTTCTTTCGTTCGAGAGATGTACTCATTGTGTGCACGTGAAATTAAGAAATCGTTGCATGACAGGCAAAAATATTTGCCAAGGAATTTTACCTTTTTTTCTCTCGAATTTTATGGCTCTCAAATTATTGAAAAAAAAGTCTACATCAGGATGACTCGGGCATTTTGCAAAATATCCTACTTTTTTTAGCAAACCTACATAACATGTATGATGAGATTATATAAAATGCAACAAACGTTTCAGCTATGAAGTGTGTAATTGCCATTTATTGAAGTAACGATTTGCAGTTGTAGGACATTGGGCGTATTATTGAATCAGAAATGACAGCCAGCACGATGGAAGCGAGCCAACTGCCCCAGGTGGAGGTGGTGCATCGGGTCCTCGAGCTGCCGATGGTCGGTATCGCCTGCAACGCCTGGCTATCGACCTACTCGCGCGTCAAGGACTCCAATCAGCTGATCCACTGGACCCTGTCGATGGCCGAGTCGTCTCTGACGAGCGCGACCAAGACCGCCGCGCCCTACGCCAAGAAATTGGAGACGCCCATCAATTTCGTCGATCGCAATCTGTGCCGTGGCCTGGACAGCATCGAGCGGAACATACCCATTGTCAAGGAGACACCTGACATGGTGAGCGCGCGCCGACTATCATCGTGATTCGGCACTTTTTTCGCCTCTCTCAAGGCCATTGCCAATGAAACGCGTACATTTGACACAAATTTTAAATGGTCCCTCTTGCAGATTCTCGAGAACGCCTACATGACGGCCCTGGCGAAGATCCGGCCGGCCGTGTCGAGGATCAACTACGCCAACGAGTACCTGGCCTCGCGCACCGCCAGCATCCGCGACGTCAGCTGGAACAAGATGAACGAGCTGCTGGGCAGCCAGTACGGCACGGTGGCCGTCAGCGGACTCGACAACACGGCCTTCGCCCTGGAGATGCTCGTCGACAAGTACTTCCCGGCCGTGGAGGCCGTCGAGGAAAAGTTCCCGGCAACTGTGTCGGCCGAGGAGGACAGACTGCTGCACACGCTGCAAACGGTAGGCCGACTGTCGAACAAAACGGCGCGTCGGGTCTACGCGAACGTCGTGTACCGTCTGCGCACCCTCAGCAAGGACAACCTGCGCAGCTTCCTCTCGAGCCTCGTGGACTTTCTTAGGCTGGCCAATTACGTGCAGGCCATCGACGCGACGAAGCACCAGGTCACAACGGCAAAGGAGGCGACGACGACGACGACGACAACAGGTGCGACGAGCCCAGTCGGCAACGGCCGAGTCGAGGAGTCTAAGAGCGAATCGGCACCGGTACCAGCAGCAGCAGCAGCAGCGCCACAGAAGTCCGCCAACGGCAAGCAGAAACGGCAACAGCGCGACGGCGACGAGAAGCAGCAGCAGCAGCAACAGCAGCAGTAGACGAGTAGCGGGAGCCTGGCGGAGACGGAGCTCGAGGCCGAGCGCCACCCTCCTGGCCACCTGGCTGACCTTCTTCTGTCTGCTGGACGTCGGCCTGATACTGTTCGTGGCCCTGCACCTGGTGCCACCGCGAATCGCGAGTCCCCGGACGATCGCTGGACGCGAGCGCTGGACCCACCTCAAGTGGCGCTCGATCAGGCCCAAGGACCACTACAAGCTCGTCAGGCATCAGGGCTTGTGACCGCTTTACAGACCCCCTGCCATCTTCTTTCAATTTATAGTACCAATAAAAACAGCTAAATATAATAACGCATGAACTCGAAATTGACTTATGACATATATCATGCAATCGTTGAAAACATATTTTGACGTTTTTCGAAAACGATTCGTCCTTCAAGACTCTAATAATTTAAAATAACTATTTTAATATATAAGATATCATTTTTATACTCGATGATGTATATGTTGAATATTGTACGAAACATGTGACAGAATTTTGTGAATAAAAAAGACATTTTTTGTAAAAATACCTACGATGCATCATTTTTCCAATTCACGATGCGGATGCATCGTCGATGCACATACTAAGTAGCCGAGCGATTGCACCACGTTCAGCTCTGCATAGGAGCTATTTCATTTCACGATGTACACGTATGTATAGCGCATCGCGTGTACGATAGTCATCGTGCGTGTGCCGCTATTGCCACTACCGCTGCTGCTGTTGCCGCTATACTTGGATGAGTAATAAAGGCATTGCCAACTTGTAAGTTGCGATGATCTGACCCCCACGTCACGTAAATTCGCGAGCGCGTCTCTCCGAACTCATGAATTTGTGTGTTACATGTGTGTGTGCGTGCACTTAGCTCCTCGCTCGTCGTTCAATTTGCAGTGTCGTACAGTCGGGGCCAGTATATGGCTCGAGAAATCACTGATGGTCACACTGACTAGACGATCGTACGAATGAATGGAGCGAGATCGGGAAATTTTGGACGCATTCTTGAAATCACAATGACGGCGCGTAAAATAACTCGTAAAATAGACCCAATGAATGAGTGAATACACGCGCTCGATCGAATCTCGATCGTAGAGCTGGATCACGTCGAGCGAGCCGCACTGACGTACCGACAAATTGCACTGGCACGTGACGATTCGCATCTCCCAAGATCTACTCGGGACAGACCCAATTATATTGTTTCGAGAAATGCGTCACGGGCATATAATGAGAATTAGTAAGGATTTATATCAGCACGGCTACGTTATTATACGTCTGTAACGCGCGCGGAAATGATTCGCGGCAAGTTTTATGCACCGATAGCGAATGTCCACGTGTTAATATGCCGGCGCAGTCGAAATTGTGAAAATCATGCTGCGAGCGCCAATAATTCGAGCGACTTTCATCAGCATAGAGGTGAGTCAACCGGCGACCGGCCGCCGATTCGCGATTGACTCAGGGTATTTAAATAACGCATTATAGCACTGACTTGCTATATACTATAACACAGGCAGAGATAGGCTCTGTCATTCAGCGGCAGCGAAACTCAACATAGGTATATATAAACGTCGTGTAGTCGTGTGCTGTTATTACATTCGCGTACATTGCGCAGACCGTCGTCAGCTCGTATTAGCCAGTCGCCACTTACTACTCGTTCGTAACTGCCGCAACGTATCGTCGCTCTGCCCGAGAGTCTCGATATAATAAACGCACATCCATAAACGCATCAATTGACAAGTGCAACTACACGACTTCGGTTCAATCGACTCGTTTACTCGTTTAAAGGTAGGTTCGTATTGCGGCCCTTGGCCCTTTTCAGCTGTATACTTTTTTCGCGCAAAATATAATAAGCCGGGATAGGTGCCAACGCACATTTTTCTAACTGCACCACTGCTCGCTTTCATTTTTCCGTTCATTGCCAAAGTCTCTTGCTCCATACAACGAAATATTCGAGATAATTGTAAAAATTTCATCATTTCAAAGTGTCTTTCGTCAGTGCAACTTACTTTCAATTACGCCTAGCCGCAGTGCTGCGTATAACCTACAAATCAAAGTTTTTGCTTTGCGTTAAATTAATCGTGCAGACAGTCGCGCGTCTACCAGTGCTTTTTTATCAAGGCTTTTTCTTATCCTCCGTGCAAACTCGCTCCTCTTCTCCTTCCTCGACGACCGTTTTCTTCTCTCATCGCTGACGAGCTGTATTGTGGCATAACAAGTATTCATTGCTGACGAAATTATTTGCGCGTGATATTTCAAACGTAATAATACGTATGTAAGTACTCGGCTCGCAAATAATCGTATCCACGCATCTTTTTTATTGATTCAATCGTTATCGGCTAGACGTCTGACGAAAAACATCTAAATTTACCACTCTTATCTACAAAAATATTCGGTTCTCCTGTAGGTCAAGCTTACTTCGACCTGGCGCGTTTGACCGACCACTCGTAAAATAACTAAACGATCGATGACTTAATTCAATCAAAAGCACGCGCTGAACTCCAACTAACTTTTGTGAATTTTTCAGAACTTTGAACATGTCAGACCAATCGAAAGCTCAGGAAGCAGCGGGAGCGGCCGCAGCCGATTCGGCTGGAGGACCGAATTTCGAGGTGATCAATCGAGTTCGCAACATACCGGTCGTTCAGTCCGTCCTCGAGAGAACCGGCTCGACCTATTCCTACGTCAAGGACTCGCATCATCTCTTCAACTGGGCCCTGAACTACGCCGAGGCTGGATTGCACTACGCCACTGCGACCGCCGCACCGATCGCGGCACCGATCGCCAAGAAATTCGAGGGACAGATCAATTCCGTCGATCAGAAGCTCTGTCAAGGACTCGACATCGTTGAGCAAAAGATTCCCATGGTCAAGCAACCACCAACCCAGGTATGTACTACAAGTTTTAGCTCCAAAACTTAGCCTTCGCTTCGAGGAAATACTTAACGTTATGAACCTAATTTATGTCGAAAAAATAGATCTACGAAGCCGCGAAAAACGTGATGAATAGCTCGCTGCAACCGACCATCGAAAAGCTGACCAATGCCAAAGAATCCGCTACCAACCAGGCAACTCAACTGAAAGACATCAGCATCTCCAAAGCCAACGAGATCCTCAGCACGCACTACGGTGAAATGGCTCTGAAAGGCGTCGATAGCACGAGTGCCCTCGTGAATCGATTGTTGGATCATTACTTCCCTACCGTCGATGGTGAACAAGAACCACCAGGTAACGCACGATTTCGATTCTTAAATATCTCGACCCGTTATGAGCATTAAATTTCACAATTTTCTAAACGATTTCATTACGTTGCAGCGCCGGTATCAGCCGACGAAAACAAGGTACTGCATGCCGTACAGACTATCGGTCAGTTATCTACAAAGACGGCCAACTGCGTTTACCATTCCATTGCTGCTCAGTTGAAAACTGTAAAGAAGGAAGACGTCGCGAATTACATGTCCAGTGTCGTCTCGATCTTGCATCTGATTAATTTCGTCAATTTGGGACAAAAGGAGCCCGAACCAACACCCACGCAATCGGCCACGGACAAAACTGAAAATGGATCAAAATCGTGAATTGAAATTGCGTTTGACTAACGTTTTTACTTACGCAATAAAAAAAAATTTCACTCGTTATCGCTTGTAATATAAAATTAATTAATATTTGTGAATAAGTATAACACTTATTGGGAATTGTGATTTAGAATTTTTAAAAAAAAATTCCATTTTACAATGGATGGATGTCCGTTAAAATTTTCAATAGTCGTTATAAAATAATGTGAGTCAAAATTGTATACCAAACTTTTTCCAATTTTGTACATACAAACATCTAAATATTTTTGAACTTTTAATAAATATGGTATTTTGTATTTATAATAGTCTTACATTATTCACCTTGAATCAATTTACACGATTTGGATAAAATGATGATGAGTTATACATGAAAAATCCTCAAAAGATAAGCTTAGCACGAAAATGCTGTCAAGTTACATGCTACCAACTGTCACCTATCTCAGGTATTATGTTTATTTTTTCCGTCTGACGGGCCATTGTATTTGTATCAAGTGTTGACATCGCTTCTTGCACTCTTACCAACTTTCCAGCCAGAAATTATTTCGTAGGGTCGCGCTATGTGAGCGGTAAAGTTTGCTTTTGTTTACATGTGATATTCAGATCAACCACAATGTCGGAAGATAAAACCACTGTGTAAGTTGTGGCAATGCTTTATTGTTAAATAAATCCAAAACGTTAAATCTTTGACTTTAACGTCTAAATGTATAAATCGTGCTTGGAAAATTTCGTAAAAAATGCCAGTGATACAATGCCCAGTTTTAGGTTATTCGTTAACAAGCAACAATGATATTTACATATTGACTTTGTGTTATTTCTAGGGCAAAAGATTTGAAAGACGAAGAAAATGCTCCCCTTAACGGTATCAGTAAAGAAGAAAAACCACTTTCTGAAACCGCTAGTGAAACAAATAAAGAAACCATCGACCAAGAAAAACAAGAAAAACCAAATGGAAGGGCAAATATTGGGGAGAAGGGTAGTTGTTACTGGTGAGCATTTTAAAAATAAGTTATTTTGTTTTAATTGTTTTATTGAAACTTCTGATTATATTTTGTTTAGTGGCAAGGAAAGAAATCTCAATATTATAGAATTATTGTGTTCAAATTGTCGCAAATGGTTTCATGAGTCCTGCATTAGTTATCAACTGGGGAAGCTAGTACCATTTATGACCAATTATGTCTTTACTTGTAAAAATTGTTCGCAGACTGGTTTAGAAAGTTTCAAGAAAAATCAAGCTCGTAAGTAGAATGTTTTAGATAAATTAAAATCATAAAAATCATTTGATTCCAATACTTTTCATTTTTTTAGAATTCCCGCAAATGTGTGTTACTGCTATTGCCAATTTAATGCAAACCAGCATTAAAGAAAATACCAATAAAACAAAGTTTAATAAAGAGGCAGATATCATTCCTTTTATAGAAATGTATTGGGAAAGTTTAACAACTAAGTCAAGGAGAGTAACGCAGTCATGGCATTCTAGTGTAAATATAATTTTAAAAATCTTATTCATTCATAAAAAATTATATAATATGAATACATTTATTTCATTTTCAGATTCAAAAAGCTCTTTCAGGAAATCTTGAAATGCTATTTACAATAGATGACAACGGTCCTGAGCCATTGTACGGACTTAAAAATTCTGATTTAGTAAAAATTAAGCCTAATTATGAGGCTATGATGAAGGGAGGTATGTTAAAAATGACAGAGATAGGAGTGCAACAAGTTGGTACGTACAAATATTGGCAATATGCACTCAATACCTGAAAGCTTCAACTAAACCTCCACTGCTTACTACTCTTATATGAGTGCACAGCACCTAAATGCTTGTATGTTACTATTTTCTTTATCTCTTGAAGTTCAAAACTATATTAGTATAAATTTTATCTCAACCATTAGTACCAATTCTATACTTATTATAATTCCACTAATTTATCACACCATGTATATACAACTTGAAAAATTATATAGCTATATCTACCTTTATTTTATTGCTTCATGTAATTTTGCACATGCAGTGTGATGTTGTTCCATTGACACTGTTTTGCTTTCTACAAGTATACTAACTAAGGTGACATATTGCCTAACGGATACTAACTGACTTTGTGCTATATTCTAACTTTATAATCTCATATGAAATATTGTATTTTATTTAAACTTTTTGTAAAACTATAGGAATATTGTCAAATAATCGCGGCCGCAACGCCAAAAGAAAATTTCCTAATGAGGGTGTTGGTGGCCCAGGTGGTAAAAAAGGTCGTGGTTCTGACACAGTAGCACCAAAATTACCTGCCCATGGTTATCCCCTTGAACATCCTTGGAATAAAGATGGCTACAGATACATATTAGCTGAGCCTGATCCTCATGCACCTTTTAGACAAGTAAGTTCAAATAACATGTTTCATTATAATTATTAGATCAGCACATTTTTATTTACTTTTTTATAATAGGAATTTGATGAGAGTAGTGATTTGGCTGGTAAGCCAATTCCAGGGTGGTTATATAGACCTCTTAGTCCAAGTGTAGTTCTTCTTGCTCTGCATGACAGAGCATCTCAGTTGAAAGTTTCAGAAGATAGATTATCAGTCACAGGGGACAAAGGTTATTGTCTCATCAGGGCTACTCATTGTAAGTTAGCTATTCATAATTGTTGTATATACTAATGTGCTTGACAATTAAGCATTGCTTTATTCAATATTTTTATAGATGTCACCAGAGGTACATGGTACTGGGAGGCTACTATTAAGGACATGCCTGATAATTCAGCAACTAGAATTGGGTGGGGTCAAGAATATTCAAATTTACAAGCACCATTGGGATATGATCAGTTTGGTTACTCATGGAGATCAAGGTAATTGTGTAATTTCAATACACATTAAATAACTACTTGACTGAAATTACCTTTTTTTATATCTTAGAAAGGGAACTCGTTTTCATGAAAGTAGAGGTAAACATTATGGAGAAGGGTATGGAGAAAATGATGTGTTAGGTTTTCTTATTACATTGCCAGATAAATATCAGCCAAAACATTTACCTAAAGCATACAAAGATAGAGTGAGTTACTTAAATTCATCAAAAATATTAAAATTTTAACTAACGAAAATTAATAATTACTTTTAGCCTTTAGTCAAGTTCAAGAGTCATCTTTATTATGAGGATAAAGATAACTTACCTGAAGCTGTTAGTAAACTTAAACCTCTTCCTGGGAGTAAAATTATCTTTTATAAGAATGGTGTATCACAAGGTGAAGCCTTTGTAGACATTAATATTGGATCATATTATCCTAGCATATCCGTTTATAAATCAGCTACAGTCTCCGTTAATTTTGGCCCAAATTTCAAATTCCCACCAAAAGATATACCTTTCAAAGGGGTATGTTTAAATTTTCTTTGTAAAATTAAAATTCAACGTATTTATATACTTTATGTTCACAGGTTCATGAGAAAGCTGTGGAAAATATTGCTGAACAAACAATATCAGATTTGCTTTTCCTAACTGAAAATGAAGGAAAATTAAGATTAGATGCCTTTGCGTCTTGACACTAGTCAACAAAATATTTTCGATTTTGTGTAAAAATACTTTTGATTTTACTATTCTCGAGTATGTTCAAGAGGTGTATAATAATTGACTATGAGACTCCAAATTATTTTTATGTAACAATGTATTGTGCATGAGGATGAACTTTTTGTAAAATTTTCTTGATATTAAAATGCTCTGTTGTTATTGAAATATTTTTTGGTATATTTACATTAGAATTATGTACAGATTTTTGATCTTATAAACTATTTACCAAATCCACCTCTACAGTTAGGACTGGGTTTGACAATTTTATCTGAGTCATTCCATTGACTAGGAGTTTTGGCCTTGAAATTAAAAAAAAAATAATCAGAAAAAGTATTAAAAAATCATAAAATGTCAGAAACATTATACTCACAACTATAGATAAAGCATGTACACCATGCTGTAACTCATAGCTCAACAAAGAGTTAACCATTTGATGCCTCTATGAGAGAAAAGAAGATAATACGTTAAAAAATGCTAAATTAATAAAGAATATGTAGAACGATGTGGTAAATTTACTTTGAGAAGGGCTAAATCTGTAAATTTATCCGAAACAACGACAACTTTAAAGTGCGTTTCGGCGCCTTTGGGAACGTTATGCATGTAGGACTCATTGATTACGTCCATATGCGTGGGTGAAAAAGCTTCCTTCAATTTTTGTCTTATTACCGACTCGATCGGTTTTGACGAATCGGTCATGTTGCGAAGCAGTTGTTTGCAAACCGAATTATAACCTGAAAAAGACATTCGTAAAAGTTATCTCATGGTGCAACGTTGCGCAAAGCTCGAAAATCAAGTTAATTGCGATTTTAAACGGGTAATCGGCAAGTTTGTCGGGAAGTATCGAGGAGAGGAAAATTGTGGCCATGCCGTGACCGGCACTTGTTTAGACATTAATCACTCACCCAATACTTTCGGTGCCAAAAGTCTCAACATTTAATGTTGTTATAAAAGCGCGAATTCGCTGACCGGCTGCAAAGTCCAAGAAATACAAATTATTACTAGTTTATTCTAGATCCCTCAACAATGTACCAGTGCCAAACAATTCGAGCGCGAGCTTGTTTAATTTTGCTTGCAATTATGTACGCGGGCACGGCGTTGCGTTGAATGAATAGCAAGAAGTTCAACTCGCTGTCGTCTGCTGCTGTCCAACTCGCGTGTCACGTGGTACCTGCTCGCAGCTTTTGTAAACGACAGCCGAAGAGATACTCACATTCAATTAGAGTCTGTAAAATAATGCGCGGAAAAATATAGTCAAGTTCTGAGGAAAGGAGAGATGCAAAACAACAGTTTGATTAGTTTTCAATACTTTATTTGACATTGTTGTAATCGGACATTTGACATGAATAAAAATAATGTATAATTTAGATAATAAAAAATGGCATATCGCATCAAAACATTGCTCACAGAATAAAATAAAATCAATGAATGACTATTGGACTAGGAGATTTGAGAAATTCTTTCTCAAGATGAGCTATTTTGAGAAAATTTCCACGCTTATTATTAAGATTGTAGGCTCGATAGATACGATAAAATGTAGCACAAGAATTGACGTATTGTTATTGTTAATTATGTTTTTTTTTCGATTTGTTTTCTTAGCTTGTGATTCAATTATATCTGCGGACATGTGCATACGCTTATAAGACAGATCGTTGATCGTATCGCGACTTAACTTATCACTAGAGAAAATCCATAAGAAAATAGGTATTATGCAACTATCAGTTCGACTCGCTTTATTGCTAAAACAATCTCTCAACAATGTAACAAAATACGGATTCGCTTGTAGATTTTCAAACAAGTGACTCGATGTATTTAGTGATTTTCTTTAAACTTTGTAATCAAACAACATATTTACACACAACAGTTGCCGTATGCTCGGCGTCGACAGTCGACACAACAATTCAACTAATAGTATATATTATATTTTGTGTTATATATTATTTATATATAATTTGTTTTTCTTCGTACAGACCCCAGCAAGTTGTAGTCAGGGCATGAAAAAGATTTCGGTTTATAGTGAATTATTATTAGAAATTCAAAAGAGTCGTACGCAGAAAATTTTTGTATGTAATTTTTTATTTTCTTCTCAAATCGCATTTTGCTTGTAGTAGTAGTAGGCAGCTCAATATGAGCCAACGGGGTTTCTTTTACATGTACATCAATATACGCTCGGTTTATCAATTTTCCCTTTTTCAGTTTTCTTTTTTTTTTTCACATTCATCGTTATACGAACATAGCTTGAAATGCAAAAAATGTCTCCACACTGGTCCCCGTCGTATCCGCGATCGTCTAAGTCGGGACGCGAGTTTATACATCGAAATTTGAGTCAGGGCTGACGATCACGGAATACGAGGACCGTCAGATTTTACAGGAATACAAAAAGTTTTATAACGAGTTTCATTCTTTCTTTTTTTTTGTTGTAGTAAACCAAGCAATCGGCACGAATTTTATCTCTAAAAATTATCAACTATTTTAGTAAAAGTATTTCTTATTAAAATTAAGAAGTAAAAATATAATAATCGTATGATAATTTTCCTTATTGCTTTAGCACTTTGTTTTGTACAATTATTTACATAGCGCGGTTTTTGTGTTTGCATTGAAATCTTTTAGTTCATTTTCTGTTCATTTCTTTTTTTTCCACTTATTTCATCTTTTATCAATGACATAATAATACTAATACGTTCACACTGCCTGGTAAAAATGGCTCGGTTTTTTTTCGTCTAATAAAATCGAATGGACCCAAACAGTGAGTTAGACGCATCGACCAGGTCGGTGAATTTGATTGGAAATTTTTCAAACGATCGCACTCGGCGACCGGAAACAATTCCCGAATCGGTCGTACACGTCTTTCTCTGAATTGAAATTTACATTGGATTAATTTTTTTCCTTAATTCTAACGAAATCTCGACAAAAAATTATTATCCCATCATTACACAAACTAGCAACACCGTTCAGTCTCATGGTAAAGGCTTGTTTTCATTTTTCTTGTATTATTGATGAATTTTGAATTCTCACAATTGATACAATGATATAATTTACGCCTCGGTGTAATAATACGAAATTCTTAAAAATTAGTTGCGAATAACTAGCTAATTCTCTTTGCCTTGGCGTTTTTTAAACAAATCGATTATGCTTTGTTTTCTCAATACATTTTTTGTTTTTTTGTTTTCATCTTTTCAGCAACAGTTTATCACTACTGTATGGTTTTGGAAAAGACAAAAATGTCCTTAGAATAACTCCATTTAGGCGAATCGCTCATGCCGGATACTATCTCTTTCAAAGTTTTGAAAAATTCTGAAAAAACGTCACGATCTACAAATCGCTATTTAACTCTGTATTTATTTATAAGATATTTAATTTCGAAAACAACTGCAGCCACTTAGCCGAGAAGAAAAAGAAAATAAGATGAAGAATTTATCGGAATGGTTTCGGAAATTGAGTGAAAAAAACTTCCATCGTCAATGGGTCAAGAGCGACTCGCCTATATGATACGCATAGTGTATCGGTTTTTTTTCACGCCAAGCATTTTTAATCTGTTAAATCATTCGCACACATATTGTATAATATAAAAATGTGGAAAAATTTCAACTAGACGATATGTGTGGATATATGTGTGCGCGCGCGAGCTCTCAATAATTCCTTACTTTTATCGCCTTAAACAATATATGTATATTAAAAATTATCTATATAACAGAATATATATATGTATACATATGTGATCCATCGGTTGTAGAAATTGTATACGTACATATATATAATCCAGCACATCACATATGACAGTAATAGTCAAAGAATAACGGTTTCTTCTGATTTTGTTGTGAAACAAACGCACGCACGTAATTCAACGAGATACATTCGTACATCATCATCATTATCATCATCATCACGCGCGAATATAATACATCGATGATTCTTGTGATTCCGTCCGTTTCTCAATTAATATCACATATTCAAGCGCACGCATACATCTTCTTAAAAATGTAATTCTTAATCTTAATTATCGTTAGGTTTCTAAAGGCTGAGAGTAAAGCCGTAGCAGAAGAATAAAGGAAAAAATAATACGATAAATACACAGGCATTGCCATTTGTAGAGGTATGTTCGATGCAAAGGAGTTATTTTAGAGATATGTGTTGTTGTTGCCTTCCGTCCCTGCGGCGACGATCGAGAGCAGATTGAATTTTTGTTAATTACTCTGCTCCGCAGCTGCTGGTCGATGAGGATAGGCACTCGTCGATGCGCAGGGGGGCCATTATTGGTATTTTTTATTAGTCGGTCAATAGACGTAGATGTGCCTTAACTGGCTCTTGAGCTCCGGCGTCAAAGCGCAATTGTCCTCGGACTTTCTTCGGACAAGGCGACGCCAGCGTCCGCCGAGATTCTTCCGCAAACTTTTCAAGCCTTGCTGCCCATGTACGAGGTTGTCCTGCAATGACAAAAATGACCGATTGTTAATAATGATCTATCGTTTTCCAATGTGCAAGATTGTGTGTATGTGTGTGTTGTTTGAGGAAGAAAAAAAATGTATACGCGCGGGCACACATATTTATCGATTAGTTTTTATTTATATCCTCCTGCCTCGATGTCGTCTATAGGCAATGTAAAATACCTGACATGTAAAGAATAAAAAAAAGGTATGTCTGTATGCGCACCCCCGGAAGTATTGTAACGCACCGTCCACCGACTGAACTCTCACACACATAGACATTTGGGTGCGAGTGTGTGCGAGTCGGGTATACGTATATATATATTTGACATGGCTATAGCCAGCCGCGCTAAAGCAGCAGCCCCTGTTTCATTTTACGATCGATAAAGCCAGCCTGCAGTTCTCTTTATGTATACGCTATACATGTATATTGCGCGCGCCAGCTCCTCTCCTAGCTGGTCATTGAACTTTTGCTCATCCGAATATGTGTAAAATATGATTCAATTTAACGAGGACGAGAACGAGATGTCAGAAGCGCGCGAAATTCACTCGCGGAATCTCGGGCTTTTTTGCGCTCGAGCTTTTATGCTACATAACTCGGGCAGGCGTAAATATTTGCGTAAAGTTGAGCGAAGCGATTTTCGCGGCCGCGGCTCGTCGTAGTGCGTTGAACCTCGAGACTCATTGGCGTGTCAAGTGTCAAGCTCGAGCCGAGGGGCGTCCACGACGCCGTTTCGTTCCTCGGTGTATCGGCCGTGCAGAAAGAATAATACGTTTATGAGCTTTTATTGGCGCTAAGAGAGAGAAGAGAGAGAGAGAGAAAAAAAAGAGAGTGAGGCAGCAAAAAAGAACTCCATTCTATATATAGGAGCTGCAGGAGTTCTCGAAACGAAATTAGACGCTGTGCAAGATGCTGGTAGAGTCTGCGACAGTCATCGGGTATATATCAATTGACCGTCCAAGTCGTGGCTAGAGCTATGTAGCAGTGCTGTATATGTAATATAGGCGTTCGTTTAGGCCGGAAGTCGTCGAGGCGTGAATTTATAGGTCGCGCGAAAAGTCGTTGTCGTTTAAACGCAAAAGAGCTGCTGCTGCTGCTGTCGGATCTTTATTTTTTTTTTTGCCTCTCTTTTTTTGTTCGAGAAATTATAACGTAGAGCAGCGTGTCGTGCTTTTTCTCTCCTTCTCTTTCTCTCACTCTCCCTCCGACAGAAGCGTTATATTGGCTATTTTTACGAAACTCGAGTACTCTATTCGATATTTATTGTTCGTTTAATGTTTATGCATTTCCATTGGCGAGACAGCTGAGCAGCGGTAAGTGTACACGGAGCCGCATGAAATGTGTACGGTAAAATGACGACGACGCCTGTGCAGGCAGGCAGGCAAAAACTGGGCTTTGAGTTCTCGCGCGCGCTCGCTCGCTCACGAAAACACATCGGCGGGCAAACTGCTATTTATAATGTGATATGCCGCTATTGCTACTGACTGCTGCTGCTGCTGCTGCCATTGCTGCAGCCATGTGAGCTGTGTGCTTGTGTGTGTGTGCCTCGCTGAGTTTCGATATAATCAGACGAGGTCACGAATGTATTTATACAGGTTTGCGTATAATATTGGCCATTCTTTTTTTCTTCTTCTCCTTTTTCTCTCGAATTACTGGGAAAAAAAGAGGAATCTTTTAATCGCGACGAGCGCGTCTTTTCCTCTCGGCGGCGTTAAATAATTTTTGTATTTTTTTTTCGTGCTTCTCTTTCTCGAACGACTCTCACAGCCGAGAGTCAGCGTCGTCGAATCACCTTCGCAGTCGCACACAAACATGCATATATACATACGCACACTCATCTCTCCGTCTTTCTCGCTCGCTTATATACCCGCCACCGCCGCTCTTTTCTCTCGATTCTATTCCAGTCGTCGTGCGTCTATATATATATATAGGTGTATTCACGCTTATGTACATGTTATAGAGGTATATATCGTGCTTTGCCTCCGCATGCATATAACGCGCGCGTGAGTATGCTATATATCGAGCTCGACGCGACTTACGTAAAACGACAAAAATGTCTCTCTCTCTCTCTCACTCTGGCTGGCCGAGCATAAGTCGAGGCTTCGAGCTACGATGACATTTGCGCTTATTATATTGCCACGAGTTAAAAACGATCCGATGCATTCTCTCGCCTACGCTGGAAAAACCATGTCAAAAAGTCGCGAATGCGGCGCTACTCGTGCATGAGGCACGGGTCACGACTCAGCTTAGAGATGTATAACTAATACGGTCGCGATCAGACTTTCGGTAGACCAAGTCGGAGCTATTCGATGCACGAGCCGCGAGTATTACGAGTACATTGCGAGCCGACGCGACCAGGTGAACGTGTGCGCGGCTGTAATCGCCCTGACCGAATTAGCCGTTTGAGCGCGTTCGGACGGATATTTTTTCTCTCTCAAAAGTGTCTCTCATCGGGTATAGGCATACTTGCTGCTATGTAGCTAATGTTTAGAGAAAAAAACGCATTGTAAAAGCGCGAGGAGATGCGATTCGCGACACGTCGCATGCACGTATATATTTTTTATTATAAAAGACACGAGACCGTTGCAACGAGAGTGTGCATGTGTTGAAAAGAGAGAGAAAGAGACTGTTGCTATACGTACGGCGCAAAGCGGCAACACTGCCTCGACTTGCAGCTCGTTGACTATATCTCGCACACACACACTTATACATAGCAGCATATAGCATATACTTGCTATACCGATGATGTATTATATATATGCTTTACTCGTATTATACACATAGCCGATTGTGTTTAGGATGTTTCTTCACGACTGCCTGCTCGGTCTTTTTCTCTCTCTTCGTCTCTTTCCCTCTGTCTCGGGGGCTTATTTTTCACGAGAAGGGATCTTGTCTCGCTCGCTCGTTCGCATATATAGCTGCGCGCACTAATCCTCGATACAAAGCATTTAATCCGCGCGCGCGCGCCTCGTCGGATCGTCTCTCAAAAGTTTCTCGCTTTTTGCCCAATGCCATTGGAAGATTAAAGCGTCGTCGCGCTTGGACTATATAGTAGCAAGTTACATACGACAAGACCGAACGACGGCGCGAAGCATCGCAAGAAAGTTTCCGCGTTATGTCACCATCCCCCCGGAAGTGGATCGCAACTTGCAAATTGAATTTTCCTTGAAAGTGTATCGCGCGCGAATCAGCAGCTGCGCCACACACACATGTGTAACCCTTGCAATACGAGCTTGTGGAAGTGTGTTACACGTTGACACATGACCTTTGAAGAATGAAAATGAGCAAAAGCACGAGAGAAAGAGAGAGAAAGTCAAGGGACGAACGAGTCGATAGACAGGAGAGTGAGAAGGAAAAAAGAATTATATAGGCGATCGAGCGAGTAGCGAGCTTTGTCCTCGAGACTGCTCTGAGGTGATTAAACGTATGTACGTCGTGCAAAAGCACATAGGAATATAGCCGAGCCACATGTGTAAATATCGCGTCGGCGATAAATGCCTGCCTCGGCTTAATATACCGACGCACACATTCGCACACGCGTGTACAATATAGCGTACGACATGGACATTAGATTGCGTGATTCGGAGCCATATAATTCGTTATTAAAAAATCATAATAACGCGCCCGAGCCGATCCATGTACGTATGCGCAAATAACAAGAGAGCTGGAGAAATCGTAACGGACACGTGCAAACTACTGCCCTTCCCCCGCACTCGAATTTACGAGGGGGCGACACCAAAATTTCGTGTACGATATAAACCGGCGATCGAGGCTCTTTCAGCTCCTTATCAACAGTACGTTCATCGTTGCTATTTGGACTTTGATAAAAGAATTCAATTTATTACATAAAAATGGTATCTTATCGCGGCTCGCGATCGCCCCGAGAGATGCGGACGTAGCTGACAAGTGGATGCGGCGCACATCAACCATATATAGAGGCAAGCTTTTTTTGTTATCGACACCGGCTACAATACGGACGCTATACTACTTTTTTCGCAATAGCAACCGTTCGCTACAATTCCATGGTAGCAATTATGCTCGGTGCGAGTCACGAGCGAGTAATGTCTTGGCGCGCGCGTAAACAAATATACAAGTTGGCCGCGAGTCGTGCGCGGCTCGACCAATGAGCGCGACGAGTTGCGCGCTTAGGCTGCTTAGGCGCCAACTTCGAAAGTCAAAGCGATTCCAGAGAAACCGTGTGGAAGCAACGGCAGCTGTGTATGTTGTTTTTTTCTCCTTCTACTAGAGCCCGAGCGCGCGCACGAGAGAGAGAGAGAGAGAGAAAGTACTGCTATAATCATAGCTGGGGGCCGCGCCGAGAGGCTTGTCGTCGTACAGCAAAGGTCATCGTTTCGCAATGCTTTCTCGCTCTCGTTTCGTTCGAGCTTTTTCATGCATATAATAGCTCGCAACTGTATATAGCAGCTACGACGTTTCAAAACAAGCAGGCCACGCTTTGCCCAACCGAAAGCTTCCGCAGTTAAGCTCGGCACGGCAGCTCGTATATTATGTTAATGCGCTTGGCTAGAGCAAAACAGGCCCACGCGGGTCGATCTATCTGGGTTACAGTCGTATGGCGCAGCAGGACGAAGGAAGGAGTTGCGATCACGACCTCTTGGCTGCAGGAGGGGAAGTTAGGGGCTCGGGGGAGGCGTAGTAGTAGTAGTAGTAAAGTCCCAGTCACGCGAAGGATCGCTTTTGACCCACATTCGAATCCGACTTGTTATATAGGTGTGCGCGAGCTAACAAAGGACTGTATGTCGTGTGTTGGTAAGATGAAGACAGGAAAAAAAGGTACTAACCTGATCGTTGTACATCTCGAACGTCGGTGGCTTGTACTTGGTCGGTGGAAAAGGCGGTGGAAACTGCCAAATGCAATCCGGTCTTTCCTGCTGCTGCTGCTGATTCGTGCCATTCTGCGACTGCGAGGCAGCGGCGTACAGCATCGACGTCGTGTTGTTGTTGTTGTTATTGTTGTTGTTATTGTTGCAGGTGTTGTTGTTGTCCTGCTGTAGAGCAGCGGCAGCTTGGATGGAGGCGGCGACGAAAGCCGCGTCTCTGATGCAGTTGCCGTTGATGTTCTTGGCGTTGGCGTTGGCCGCGTCGAGGCTGAGCGAGCTCACGCTCATGGCGCGATTGACAATGCCACCGGTCTCGACGTCGCAGCTCTGGCTGTTGACGACGTTGTTGCCGTTGACGTTGGCCGCCGCGGCCATCTGGGCGTCCTCGCGCTTTCTCAGCTTGCTGCGGACAAGCCGAATGGCTATCATCGTACCGTTGCTACCGACCATCTTTCTGTACTTGAGGTACAGCCTCGTGAGCTTCTTCGCCGCGTTAGCCGAAATTTTGACGATTCGAGTCCTAGACTATAAATCGCGTCCTGCACGATTTTTTTTATATATATTCGATATAATATATCTCGCGGCTTTTTTGTTTTCGTTTATAGTCAGAGCGGAGCCCGGACTTGTCACTGTATAATTTTTAAACGTTTGTTTTGTTTACAAATGTTAGTCGACTTTTCTGCCGCGAGCACTAGCCTTTTAACTCGACGCACTCAACTGGCCTTTAAACTCGTAACTTTTATGTTTATATCACAGCTCGATGTGGCGCGGCGCGATCCCAACGCTCTCGGGAATACGCCGAACTGACTTCTTCTTGACTAAGTGACTAGTTTTTGTGCGAACTGGACAATTTGCTTGTCCTATACATACGGCACACGACTCAGTTTAAGTACGCGTATATGTATGAACTTTAGTATTTGGTTTCTAGTTAATGGTATGTGTAAGTGTGTGTGTGTGTGTTGTGGTTGAGCACAGAGAAAACAACGACGGCGAGACACTGTAATTACTCGTATATATCGCCTATCGCCGAGAGGAAAGCTGACACTCAAAGTCACACGCACGTTCAATTCACATACACAGAGATATCGATGCGGGGCCTATTGTCAAATAGGCGCGTTTTGTTTTGCTTGTCGTCCCGTTGAGCTTCGACCGAATCGGAGCGGGCCAACTTGTGCTTCTACTGTATAGCTGTTTGCCGGTACGACACGTACGACAATTGGCTCGTCAAAATTATGTATACAAATACAAGAGGAGCCAAGCTGCAAATTTGCCGATGGGTTGTCAGCGACGAGGGACGAGCGAGCGAATAGTAGTAGTAGTAGTAGTAGTAGCCGTTACAATGAACGCGTGTGCCGCTGCTGCTGCTGTTGTATAGACGCTCGTTCGTATCGTACCGCCAGCCCGAGCCGACTAAATGCGCTCGAGTCTCTGAGGCGGCGCTTGCTCCAAACGTTCCTCTTATAATATCGGCCTGGCCGCGCCGCGTTATCCCCACTCGACGGGGCCGCCGCCGCCGCCGCGCGCACCGCAAAAGCGCAAAACGAGCTCGCAGCGGCTATGACGTTCGACGCGCTCGATACGCTACAAGCTCGCTATACCTGTATATAGGCGCTTCCACGAGTGGGAGAAAACGACGCGTGCCTGATACAACTGCAACTACTACTCACCACTACAACTACTCACCACTACTACAGCTGCACAATTGTGCTCGTGACAACTATTTTATTGCAACTATTTAACCAACTGGCGGTTTTTCCTCGTTTCATTCTCTCTCTTTTTTTTTCTGTTAATTCATTCTCTCATTTCAAGTCGTCGTACCCGCAAAGATAAAAACCAAAAAAGCACGTGACGCGATTTATTATTTATTTGCGCTGATCGATCGAACGTAAGAATTTAATGTATTTTTTGCGCGATTTTAATCGATGTGTAGCCATAATGAACGAAAGATGCGATAACAAAAATGAAAAAAAAAACCTCGACAGTTGAATCAACTTGCGCGCCCGGCAAATCATATCTGTAAAATACCTTTTTTTTTGTTGTGTTATCGTCGCTATTATTATACTACGATCTGACTCGACGGTGCAAAAATTCGCGAGATTCTGGAGACTATACTCTCGGTATAATTATTCAAATTTCACATCGAGTGAGAGTTGTGTGTGCAGCGAGAGCTCCCACTACACACACCATCCCATATATTATATATACCGAGCGACTGTGTATACTGTACTGCGCTATACCATTGCCCCCGACGCGTTCGTATTTTCAATAAAAAGTTTCAGCTCGACCAGCTGCTGCTGCTGCGACTCTCTCCTCGCGATCTCAATTTCTTTATTCGCCCGATCAAAACCTCGAGACGCGCTAAACTCGTGTCTGTTTTGACTCCATCGGCCATTGCAATTCAAGCAAACGGGATTTAATAGCCTCGAATTAGATGCCTGTTAAAGTCTAATCGACTCGGCTAATTAAGCTCCACATACGAAATTTCTTCAATTTTAAGCGATCGGACTTTGTTATTGCAGTTATTGGCCTATTGTCGCGTATCCTCGCCGTAAATCGTCGCAATCGTTGCTCGATCTAAACGAGTCGTAAATCTGCTGCGCCTTGTCTAAAAAATTCATCAGGACTCGACGTTGTCGTCGTCGTCGTCGCGCGTTATTATACTGCAAATGCGAGTAAACAGAAGGCGATCGCGAGACGGTCAGTGGCTCGCGTAAATGGCTGTGTTTACATGATACGAGCATCGCGATCAATTCGATCCGATTGACTGTTTCGCAGATTTTTCAACCCTCGCCCAAGTGCTTTGCGTCATTCGGCTCGCGAGCAAAAACAAATTATCCGCACGTATCTCATTTTAATCCGCAAAAGAAGCCGAGAGTCTCGTGTCCGTCGAGCTTTTTGCGCCGTACATATTTTGCATGTACGAGATCGCGCGAGGCTCTCTACTCGTGTGTTATTGTCAAAACTCCGCACAGAGTACGAACGGCAAAAATAGCGTTGCTTTCGTACACCGTATCGTATATCGTATGGCGTTACGCGACTACGCAAAGCAAAAGTTTATTTTCAAGAGTTATATCGGCCGAGTGCGTGCTTACACGATAAGCCTAAAAAGGGAGAAATTATGCACTTGATTCTATAGTAAAGCCACCGCGTTGTCATCATCAAATATACAATAACGATGACATTGGCGCGGAATATACAATCCGGCCAGTTGCGTATGTGCGCGGGCTGAGCTGCATAAGCACCCGCGGCTATATTCGATTGCATCTCTCTCTGTCTCTGCCGTCTATAAATGTGACATAATTTTGGTTAGCGCACGAAAGATCATTTAAATCGAGCGCCGGACTCTAATGAGCCGCGGCCTGAGTCGGCACGCATTTAGCATGATGCGTGCACTCTCGTAACCCGTCGCGCATTCATATTATTAGATTGATGTGCTGTACCGAACATATAACTCATACTCGTGTGTGCATTATTGATTATATCAGGCATTATTAAACGGGCCGTAAGGGGATTTAGATTGTATGAATTGCGAGTCGCGTACATCGAAATAACCTATTGCGGCGTACGTTATGTGAATTTTGAAACGAGCTTTTCCGTGCACGAGAAAATTCATGGAAATTTTGCTCAAGGCTTCGGCTCGGAAGAAAAATCCGCGAGGCTCGCACGTGACTACCTCGTCCTCAGTGAGCTTTTTCAATAGCACAATAAACGCTGCAGCAGCACAATCGTGCGAAAATACCGCGAAATAATTGACTCGTTAATTATGTAAAATATACTCTGCATTATATGGATTTCCGCTTAGATGTATACACGTCGATTCGCGCCCTTGGCCATTTTCTTTGGAATAACCTGAACTTTTCACTCGTTCGGACACGAAAAATACCATGTGTGTTTCGATGTGTATACTATCGGCTTAATCGGACTGTAAAATCGCAACTCAAATATTTGTCGTTAATTTATTTTTTAATCGATTTAACTCGTGCGCTTGTTTTCCGCACGTTGATCGCTAATTAAACGTCGATCGCTGAATTCTCTCGTGCGTCGGTAAATATTTTCGCAACTAAAATGTGTCTGACTCTCCCCCATTCTTCCTTCTCTCTTTGCCAGCAAGCAGCAGTTGCAGCGCGATACAATATGTGCTCACGTATTTCCGAGCTTTATCTCTCGTTCCGGCGAATCTCTAATATTTTCTCGCTAATGCCTCGTGTTTGGAAATTACAATAATAAGCGTGTTGTGCGCGCGCGAGTGAGAGAGAGAGAGAGGAGCGGACGATAGAAACAAATAAACCTGGTGCTGCTGCAGCAAGGATCAAAGATACAGGATTTGAAGAAGCAGAAGAAGAAGAAAAGGAAGGACGCAGAAAAAATGAAGAAGAAGAAGAAGAAGAAGAAGAAGCTGCTGGCTCGGAACGTCTGCATGGGTGCCCGCCTGCAGTCACGCGCGTAGTTAGCCTCTTTGTTACCTATAGCACGCAGCCAGTCCAGGTATATAAAGAGAGCATATATAGGTGCGTTTCGCACGCCTCCTTTGAACACGCAGCAGCAGCAGCCACGGCGGCATCAGCAACAGTCAGGAGCAGCCAGAAAAAAAAGAGAGAAAAAGGATGTGCAGGTATATAAGAAACGAGTCCGCGAAACCTTTCTCGGAAATTCGCTTGCGATCGTGTCTGTGTGTCTACTCGCTGCTCGCTTACCACCGGCATAGGGTCATTCATCCTTTCTCGCATGGATGTATTTCAAGGACTGTATAGGTATAAGCGCTCATCTTCGGCGGCCCTCTCGAAACGAGGCGTCGACGAGCGAGCGCCAACAACCCGACGACGTTGTACTTTTGAGAAACGCGTCTATATCGGCCAATTCTCGCGCGAATAAACATCCAACGTATATTATAAGCAGGCAGCTCTCAAAGTCTCACTTTTGCATATATTTGCAGCTATATATGACGCTTTCGTACCCCCCGTGGATTCCGCGAACGGCTCGAATCGTCATGTGAGAGCTGCCGAGGCCTGACCCCACATACGAGCTGACGTTTTTCACGCGGATAAGATATTGAGAAACGTCTGAGCGACACTCGGGGTTATCATCTCGCGTCGCGCAATTACATTAGCTCTTTAATGGCGCGCGAGTCGTTGCATTATTCGCAGACGAGATGAGCGCGTCCCTGTTTTCCACTTTTCCGTTGCATCACATCGCGCGCCGGGTATTTTTCGATCCGACGCTCATAAATAATATAATCGTCGCTCGAAGAGAAATATCGAATTTCATTCGCATACACAGTGACACGGCTGCGTTTGCAAGCATGCGCCGATATATATTTGCTAGCTTTCCAATCGATATCCGCCGACGAGTAAACAATTTATAAAAATTTTTCGTGTAAAATTTCCCTCGTACACAAAAAACACG